CTTCTTATGTGTTTCGAAGAATCATTCTATGGGTCGTATAAGTCGTCTTCGTTGTCAAAATCTCCCCTGCCTTCACTGGACGAGGCATACAATGTATTTTCACAGGGTGATGAGGAATCAAAATCTCTTGGTGTACAACAAGAAGAAGGAACTTGTGGTGCTACAGTCGTTGTCGAAGTAGTAGAAAGAGAGGAAGCAAATACCATGGAAGTAGTTGCTGTAGAAAGAGAGGAAGCAAATACCATGGAAGAAGTTGCTGTAGAAGGAGAGGAAGCAAATACCATGGAAGAAGTTGCTGTAGAAGGAGAGGAAGCAAATACCATGGAAGAAGTTTCTGTAGAAGGAGAGGAAGCAAATACCATGGAAGAAGTTTCTGTAGAAGGAGAGGAAGCAAATACCATGGAAGAAGTTTCTGTAGAAGGAGAGGAAGCAAATACCATGGAAGAAGTTTCTGTAGAAGGAGAGGAAGCAAATACCATGGAAGAAGTTTCTGTAGAAGGAGAGGAAGCAAATAACATGGAAATAGGTGACTTAGTAGAAGGAGATGAATATAAGCTTCATCCGTTTCTAATGTGTCTAGCAGAAACATACTCTGGGTTCGTTAAGTCGTCATTGAATTCAACAACTCCACTGCCTTCACTCGAAGAGGCAGACAATGTACTTTCAGAAGATTATGAGGAATCAAAATCACTTTGTCAACAACAAGAAGAAGGAACTGGGAATGGTGTTGGTTTCGTTGTTCAAGCTGCCTCACGTGCCCTGAAAGCAAAGACCATGGGAGAGTTTGCAAAAGAAGGAGAGGAAGATAAACGTCATCAGTGTCTTGTGGGTCTAGAAGATTCATTACACGGGTCCCTTCAGTCCTCATTGTTGTCAACAACTCCACTGCCTTCACTGGACGAGGCATACAACGTACTTTCACAATATGAGAAATCAAACTCGATTGGTGGACAACAAGCAGAGGAATGAAGTGGTGGTGTTAGTGTCGTTGTTGAAGCTGCATCAAGTACCTTGCAAGAAAATATCATGGAAATTGGTGGATTAGTAGAAGCAGATGAATATAAGCTCCATCCGTTTCTTATGTGTCTAGCAGAATCATACTATGGGTTTGTTAAGTCATCTTTGCTGGCAACAACTCCACAGCCTTCACTTGAAGAGGCAGACAATGTGGGTCTAGAAGATATGCTTTTGGAAGATAAGCTGCATCACTTTCTTATGGGTCTAGAAGACTCCTTATATGGGTCCATTAAGTCCTCTTTGTTGTCAAAAACTCCACTGCTTTCACTGGACGAGGCAGACAATGTACTTTCACAATATGAGAAACCAAAATCGTTTGGTGGACAGCAAAAAGAAGGAACTGGTGGTGCTAGTCTCGTTGTTGATGCTGCATTATGTACCCTGCAAGCAAATACCGTGGAAGAAATTTCAGTAAATGGAGAGGAAGCAAATACCATGGGAATTGTTGTAGTGGAAGGAGAGCAGTATAATTATCATCAGTTTCTTATGTGTCTACAAGAATCATATTATGGGTTCGTTAAGTCATCTTCGCTATCAACAACTCCACGTTCTTCACTAGACGAGGCAGAGTCAGACAATGTAATTTCACAAGAGAAGGATCCAAACTGGCTTGGTCTACAACAACAACAAGGAACTGATGGTGTTAGTGTCGTTTTTGAAGCTGTATCAAGTGCCCTGCAAGCAAATATCATGGAAGAGATTGAAATGGAAGAAGAGGAAGATAAGGTTCATAAGTTTCTTATGGGTCAAGAAGACTCATTATATGGATCCGTTAAGTCATCTTCGCTGTCAACAACTCCACTGCCTTCACTGGACGAGGCAGACACTGTACTTTCACAAGATAAGGAACCAAACTCGCTTGGTCGACAACAACAACAACAAGGAACTGATGGTGTTAGTGTCGTTTTTGAAGCTGCATCAAGCGCCCTGCAAGCAAATACCATGGAAGAAATTGAAATGGAAGAAGAGGAAGATAAGCTTCATAAGTTTCTTATGGGTCAAGAAGACTCAATATATGGATCTGTTAAGTCATTTTCGCCGTCAACAACTTCACTGGACGAGGCAGACACTTATATAACTAGTCTTCTTGCTTCCTTCTGCTCATTATTTTCCTTTTTCTTTACATTAGTTTTAATTCACTTTTGTTTACCTTTGCAGCTATCTCTCTCAAGTACTCCAAGTCCCGACACAGAAGAAGAAATGGAATGTTTAAAGGAGCTTGGGAAGAAGAAGAAGAAGAAGCTGATAAAGAGCATTATATGGAGCATCAGAGCAGGGATTAATAAGATGAAGAAGAAGACGAGAACATCACCAAGACACAGCAAGAACAAGAAACACTTCAGTTTCAACTACAACCCTCTTGTGGTTTGCTGATGATGATGATATGTTTCTATGTTTCTATTTTTCTGTGTGTCTATGTGTCTATATGTCTGATGATGATGATGATGATATTGAATTTTATAAATCTTTGATTGAACAACAAGTGATTGCGTATTATTCTGAATGATTCTACATAGATTTCTAGTTCAATAACATAGGATTTGAGAAGATAGTTAAAATCACAAGTTGAATAACATGTCATTCTCAGGAAAAACCAAAATCTTCTAAGATTTTATATACTGATTACTGAGTATATCACTTACGTTTATCTTAGTAGCATTAACAATAAGAATAAAGAAACTAAAACAAACTAAAAGATCAAACTAAAAGATCTCTATTCCCCATAGAAATCATCTGCAGATTCAATCAGGATCATTTTCTCTGAACTTGGAAACTCATATTTTGGCCGCAACAATTTCCTCTGTTGTTGTGCAAATTCTTCACAGCAATTCAAACACACACAAAAAGTGGAGGCAAAGTATCTCAATCATCAATGTCATAGCTTCTTGTACCTCACAGACATAACATGATATCATCCTCTCACCATCATTTAGCTCTAGCCCTGCAACCACAACTCACAAGACTCTGGTCAAACCCATGTCTTCCTTCAATTCCACTCACCACAAGATGTCTTCAGATGTGGACATGACTGACCAACAACACTCAGAGACTCTCCTGAAAATGAGCAGTACGTGGTCTTCAAGCAATGGAAGTTTGACAATTGCGTTGGCAACTACCTCATCTGTTATTGGAAGGGCATCTTCTCAGATTACTTGAACTGCGGATTAATGTGAAAGTAAAGTTTTAAAACATAACCAAAGAAAGAGAAAAAGATGCAAAAGAACTTTTTATTTATAGCACATATGAACCAGAAGCCAAAGATTTTAGAATCAAAGTAGATGTTTTCCCACTCCAAAAGGAATAATAGCATTCACAAACTGGAGAAAGGACGATGTTGTTCTGAAACCTTAGTACTAGCATCAACCGATACAACGACTGAAATCAAATCAAACTCAGTTCTCTAAAACCAAATTTCGAGAGATATTTAAGATTCCAGGGTTCTACTACTTTTTTAATTTTTTTAATTTTACCCACAAGTAATGTCATTTTGACATCTTTCACACAAGTTAAGAAAAGCCTTTAGTGTTGAGTTTGTTTAATTAAGCTAGATTCTAATTGGTAACATAAAGTTTAAGTATTTTATGGAGTGCACGTATACAAGGATAATCCTAATAATATAATAGAAGTGAGAGGTCAACATCAGTTCTCTCCTCTGGTAAAGCTCCAACAAGTAAGAACAAAGACAGAGGAGATACTACTACTACTGCCTTTATTATATAACTAGTCTTCTTGCTTCCTTCTCTTCTTTATTTACTTTGTTTTCATATTTGGACTTTTTTATTCACTCTATTTACCTTTGCAGCTATCTCTCTCAACTCCAAGTCCCGACACAGAAGTAGAAGAAATGGAATGCTTAAAGGAGCTTGGGAAGAAGAAGAAGAAGCTGATAAAGAGCATTATATGGAGCGTCAGAGCAGGGATTAATAAGATGAAGAAGAAGACGAGAACATCACCAAGACACAACAAGAGTAAGAAACACATCAGTTTCAACTACGACCCTCTTAGCTATTCTCTTAACTTCGACTCTCTCTAACTAAAAGAAAAAAGAAACTATACATGTCTTCATGTTCGTTCTCTGGTTTTAAAAGTCTGATATTAGTATCAAAATATATTACAAGATGTTTGTTAGATTTTCATGTGTTGAATATAATTTTTTTCATTAATTAGTCACAATACAAACCATATGCTAGCATATTTTGAAAATGAAGACATGTATAATAATACTACATAGCGATACTACTTATAACTATACTACATAGATTTCAAGTTAAATAACATAGGATTTGAGAAGATAGTTAAAATCACAAGTTTTGTTTAGTGTTGAGTTTGTTTAGTTAAAGCTAGCTTTGGACTCTAATTGATAACATAAGTTTTAGTAATTTTTTGCCCAAAAAAAAATTTGGTAGAAGAGATTTGAAAGACATAGGAGAGAAGAGAAGACTAGTGTTGGAGTCTGAGAGATTCTCTGAGCTACTTGGGTGGCACAATAAGCAAGAAGTTGTTATTTCACCTTCCCCATCCACCCCTTTCAAAAGTCTTCTCACCTCTCTGCACCACTCCACATGCCTATCTTCCCTATAGCCTTTTTTTCACTTTTACCGTTACCAAAACTTTTTACTATTCCTTTTTTTTTATATTACTTTTATCATCAAACATTTCTTTTTATCTTTTCTTCTATATATAAAAAGACTTTTTATTCCAAAAAACAAAGAAATTTAACTTATATCAGGCCGAACCATTAGCGGGTAATCTAGGTTGTTATAAATGGGCCTTATAACTTAAAGCCCATTAAAATATTAGAAACCCGCGAATAAAATTGTTAGCATGAAAACCATCTACAGATCTAGACCGTTTATTTTAAATCAACGGTGGATTATAGCGCCAGCTCATCGATCCGTGTCAATGACTAAAAAAACCATTGCCGCCATAACTTTGAGGAAAAATGTTTCGTTTCCCTCTCAATTTTTTTTGTTACTCTCTTTTTCTTCTCCACCAGAGTCACTGAAACCCTTCTTCTCTCATCGAATCGAATCGAATCGACTTCTCTCACATTTCGATCTAACGAGACTTGAGAAAAAAAGGTAAAAGATATGGCTGGAGCATCGTCGACTACAAACGCACCAAAGCCGAGGAAGAGAGTCGAAGCGGAAACTAGTAGCAACGCCTCTACTACTACCACCTTACGTCGTGCTAAAGATGGCAGTGCTTTCGCTCGCTGGTGATTTCTTCTTCTTTTAATCTACTTTTGAATCGGATTCGTGTTTGATCGATTTTGGGGGCTTTTCAATTTCCTTTCTCTATCAGATTTAGCGATTGGGACTTTTAGGGTTTCTTACGAGTTTTGTTTTGGTGATTTAAAACGATTTCAGTGAAGGATGTAACAAGAATGTTGCGGTAGCGCTTATTAGCATGCACAATTGCAGCCTCGATGCTAAGATCAGAGTGAATCTAGGTATAATCATCTCTTTGGGTTTTTTTTATTTCCCATCCTTAATTGTATTTTGTGTGTTTCAGTGTTCTCATAATCTCCGTGTATTTGATTGTTGTTGTTGTTCAGAAGCTCAAGTTGTGGAGACACAGGCTGAGGCTAAGAAGAAACCTGCAGAGAGGTAAACCTCGTTAGCCTTTGTATTGAATGGAAATGTAATGTTTGTATATGTGAATGTGATCTTGAGTTTCCTATATTGGTTTGGGGTTTTTTTCAGGAAGAAGTCAGCGTCTGATGAACCTAAGCCAAAGAGAGTTAGAAAGGCTAAGGATGATAAGAAGAGCTCTTCTACCTCAAACAAGCCTAAACGACCTCTTACTGCCTTCTTTATCTTCATGTAATGTTAATTGTCCCCATACTTACTTTTGTTGCTAGTTAATATTCTCTTACGGATGATACTGATGTTAGCTTTCACTCTGCAGGAATGATTTCCGTAAAACTTATAAAGATGAGAACCCGTCTAGTAATGTTAAGGATGTAAGACTATATGTTTACCTGGTCTTATTATTGCATTTGAGCTCTATGCTTAGTGTTTATGTGGTTTACTGAACTGTGTTATGTATCTACATATGATTCTAGGTTGCAAAGCATGGTGGTGAAAAGTGGAAGTCTTTGACTGAGGAAGTGAGTTGTTTATCTTTTTGTTTCTTTCTTAGTTTCATGGTGTTTTGTTTATTGTGTATTTACTCTGCTTGTGTTCCTTTATCATACAGGAGAAGAAAGTTTATCTGGATAAAGCTGCTGAACTAAAGGCAGAATATAACAAGTCACTAGAGAACAATGATGCTGATGAGGAAGTATGTCTTTTATAATTAATGGTTTCCTTTATTTTTCTGTGTATATTACATGGAATCTTGAGTGTTAACATGATTCGATGACTATTTCAGGAAGAGGATGAGGAGAAGCAATCTGATGATGCTGAGGAGAAACAAGCTGATGATGCTGAGGAGAAGGAAGTTGAGAGCGCAGATGATGACAACAAAGATGCTGAAGGTAAAGAAGAGGAAGAAGAGATTTTGGATGACTACTAGACATGTTATGCTCGTTCTTGGGGGATGTAGTCGAATTGAAATGGAAATCTAATCGTTGTGATGCATTGTAAATTAAGCTTTTATTATGACGAAGTTGGTTATCTGAAGGTAGTTGCGAGCAAGTGGGTTTTTTGTAGTCGCGGAAATGGTAACTTCCTTTTGTTTAGACTTTAGACAAGTAATGAAGCTTATGTTTTTCGTTTTACCAATGCTATAGAAAGTTATCGTTTGGCTTAGAATCTGTGCTTTGATTAAGTTATGTGTTCTGCAGGTGGAGTAAAAAGTAGTAATAATTTATTTGAGATGAAATTGAAAACAGAATCAGATTGAAACAATAGAATTGTAAGAAAAGAGTAAAAGACAAATAGAAGATATCATCTATTTGGAAGAAATGCGTAAAAAGTAATAGGGGCTAAGATAAAGTCAGCGTTGGACTGGCCACTTCAGAACGTGTGTTTTGTTTCACTTCATTGTCTTCCTACAAGCTGGTAATGGCTTGCCACACAGGCAAAGGTTATGCAGATAAGCAGCTGCAGGAAAGATGTTGAATGGTCTTCCTTGTGGAATCAGCCCGCACAATTTGTTGGCTCTAAAACTCACATGTTTCATTGTCTTGATGTTCAATAAGCTGTCCGGGATTCTTCCTGTAAGTGCATTAATGGAGACGTCGAGCCAGTTGAGCTGCGCTAGCTGCCCCAGAGCTTGAGGTATGCCTCCTGTAATGTGGTTTCTTGAGATGTCCAGTCTCACAAGTTCAACAAGGTTTGATATTGAACTTGGGATTTGTCCACTGATTTTGTTGCTCCCAATGTTGAGAACTTTCAGGTTCAAGCTCTCTGTGAAATCAGGGATCCTCCCTGAGATTTGGTTGTTGGTGAGATGAACCTCTTCCAAGAAGCTGCTTGTCTTGTTGTTTAACAGGCTTGAAAGCGAACCCGTCACTAGATTTGAACTTAGATCAATGGACGCGACTCCCTCTGGCAACTTCAGCTTGGAGAGATCAAACCTGAGCTGGTTCTTTGAGAGCTTCACTTTCTGAACATTGGTCATGCTTGTGAGGAAAGCTGAAACATCACCTGTCAAAAAGTTGTCAGACAAATCTAGCGAGGTCAAGGCCGTTGGTCTTGTTAGCTTTGGAAAGGTTCCTCTCAGTTTGCAACCAGCCAAGTTGATATCTGAGAGTTGCTTGTCTCTGATCCAGCTTGGGATTGCTCCCAGATTGAGGTTGTTGTAGGAAAGATCAATAGACAGCAGAGAAGGAAATCCTCTGGCTACAACAGCAGGCAGAGGATCGGAGAACTGGTTTCTCGAGAGGTTGAGAGACCAGAGATTCTGCAGTCTTGTAATGGATGCTGGTATGTGACCGATGAACTTGTTGCCGCTTAACTGAAGGCTAGTGAGTGACTTCAAATTGCTGATTCGATCTGAGAGTGGTCCGGTCAGGCCATTACGCTCCAAAGACATGCCCTGAAGCTTCCCTAAGCTGTAAACAGAAACAGGTAACCCACCGGATAATCTGTTGCTGGAGAGAAAAAGATTGGTTAAACTCTGAAACTGGCCTATGAAATCTGGGATTGGTCCAGTTAACAGATTGGAGCTGAGATCAAGACTCTCAAGTTTGAGGAGGTTCTTGAAAGTCAATGGGATCGGACCGGAGAAAGAATTTCGAGCCAAACTCAAAATGGTGAGTCTTCCCAAGTTCCCCAAACTCGGCGGGACAAGACCTGAGAAGCGGTTTCCAGCTAAAGAAAGAATCTGCAACGATGGAAGATGGCCTAAAACAGAAGGAACATTGCCTTGGAGAGAATTATCATCGAGTACGAGCTGCCGAAGACTGGTCAGGTTATAGAAGCTGTTGGGGATTGAACCACTGATGAATTTGGTTCCAGTAATGGACAAAACCACAAGAGATCGGAGATTACCCAGTGAAGGTGAGAGTGTGCCTTTCATGTAAAGAGTAGGCTCGTTCAAGGGGGATTGTAACACCAAGTTGGTGACTCTCCCCGTGGCTGGATCGCATTGAACACCTTCCCATTCTTCATTGCAGCAATCTAGACCAACCCATGAATCTAGAACTCCGGTTGTGTCTTTGATGATGCTTGACTTGAAACTCAGAAGTGATGCTCTGTCTTGGCTCGAACAGATTACTTGTGATGATGATGATGAGTGAACAAAACAAAGAAGAAGAGCAGACACAAACAAGAGATTCAAAACCCATTCTTTTAGATTCTGCATTTTGATCAGTTTAACGGAAAAAAAAATGGTTAAAAATAAGATTGTTTTTTTCTTTTTTGGTTGGTTCTCTTTTTCAGACAGAGGGAGAGAGATCTGACAAAGAGTTAACTCTGGCTCGAATTGGGATAAAGTGAAGTGAACAGAAACTGTTTTATTATTATTGTTCCTTCACTTATACAGGAAGAAGGTATTATAAAAAAAAAAAAAAATTATAATGATCAATCCAAAAAAAAAAAAAAAGAGAGCTGCAAAAAGTTATTTTCTTTTCACTTTTAATCAAATCAAGAAGAAGAAGAAAAAAAGATTAAAAATGTGAGAAATGTAAGTCTTTGCTTGGATCTTGAAAAATAATCAACCTTTACTTATAGCAGTGGTGAAAAAGAGAAGTTTGAAAAATATTACAACACAAAAAAGGTCTCTTGAAGATATTCACATGGTGAATTGTGACCGTTGGATTGTTTCACGAGTATCCCAATTTTGTTTTCGAACGTTGGAGCGCAACTCAGTTTGAATCTTTTTTTTATTTTTTTGTTTTTACTTACACTTGGTTTCATATTTTTTTATTTTTTTTACATTACTGTAACCATTCTTCTTCTTCTTTTGATTCCAAAGCTCTCATCATTAATTCAATTCATGTGAAGTTTCGTGATTTTTTTGGCCACTATTTATCTCTCAATTCAAATAAAGTTGTTAAAATTTCATATTTGTAAACAGTGATAATTGAATAGGTTTACATTTGTGGATAATTGATAGAAAAATACAAAAACTAAAGATCAAAGTAAACCTAAAAAAGGAAATTAATAGACGTTAACCATGTGCATGTTGTAGTAGTTATTTAAATAATTTGTTTTATGTTGGTTGAACTATCGATGTCTATTAAATACACATACTTGTTAGCAAATCACACATTTATCATAATCTCTTATCGTTAATTTAGTAGAACAATAATATGGTACGTTTATAGATTAGGATCTGAATAATTTAACCAGTGAGGCACCAGACCTATTTTAGCATTTGAGGATGGGGTTGTGATAGGATACTATTTTGATCGTTGAATATATAATTCATAGTGATGTTTCAACTTACCAACTTTTTTTTGATTTGAGATAAATCTAATTTTTGGTCTTATAATAGAGACAAATTTAAGATGGAAAAATAAAGTAATAGATTTGTGGCCTATAAATGTGTTTTGTTGAAATATTATAGGCTGCATGCAACTTATATATAATCAAAAGCGATTTTAAATCTATACTATTAAAAGGGAAGCATTTTGAATAAAGCAATCATAGTTTATACATTAAAAAAGTAAAACAAAACCAATGTGATTATATAAACAATTTATGAAAACTAATAATATCAAATCCCTAAATTATAGAAACAATAATAGAAACAAAATAAACTCATAAAATAATAAACATGCATCGATGGAAATTTTTGTGATTATGCTAAAATATAGGAAAAAATTTGTTCTTTACTTCAAATCCCTTAATTATAAAAACAATTATATAACAAATTAAACTCATAAAATTTAATTAATCATATCAACTAAAATTTTGCTAAAGATGATTAAATAATATAGTCACTCTCAAAAATATATTCCTAATATATAGCAAACAATTTATTCATTAGTTTAGATTCATTAAATCACGATTTAATTTTTAAACTAAACAAAAAAATCATAACTAACAATTTCGAAATTAAAAACTATAATAAACATTGATAACTAAATTTAAACAATTTATTCATTATTTCAAATCCCTAAATTATAGAAACAATAATAGAAACAAAATAAACTCATAAAATAATAAACATGCATCGATGGAAATTTTTGTGATTATGCTAAAATATAGGAAAAAAATTGTTCTTTACTTCAAATCCCTTAATTATAAAAACAATTATATAACAAATTAAACTCATAAAATTTAATTAATCATATTAACTAAAATTTTGCTAAAGATGATTAAATAATATAGTCACTCTCAAAAATATATTCCTAATATATAGCAAACAATTTATTCATTAGTTTAGATTCATTAAATCACAATTTAATTTTTAAACTAAACAAAAAAATCATAACTAACAATTTCGAAATTAAAAAGTATAATAAACATTGATAACTAAATTTAAACAATTTATTCATTATTTCAAATCCCTAAATTATAGAAACAATAATAGAAACAAAATAAACTCATAAATTAATTTTAGTGTTATGCTAAAATATAGCAAACAATTTTTTCATTACTTCAAATCCATTAATTATAGAAACAATTATATAAATAAATTAAACTCATAAAATTTAATTAATTTAAAATGTGATTAAATAATATAATCACTCTTAAAAATTAATTTTAAATAAACATAGAAAACAATTTATTCATTAGTTTAGATTCATATTAATTTTGTTTCCTAAACCAAAAAATCATACCGAAAAAATTCAAAATTCAAAACTATAATAAACATTAATAGCTAAATTTAAATAGTTTATGAATTACTTCGAATTCCTAAATTATAGAAACAATTATATAAAAAAACTAAACTCATAAAATTAAATGAACCAACATCGATGGAAATTTTAGTGTTATGCTAAAATGTAGCAAACAATTTGTTCATTACTTCAAATCCCTTAATTATAGAAACAATTATATAAATAAATTAAAATTATAAAATTTAATAAGTCATCATCAACGAAAATTTTGCTAGAGATGATTAAATAATATAATCACTCATAAAAATACATTCCTAATATATATAGCAAACAATTTATTCATTAGTTTTGATTCATCAAATCACGATTAATTTTGTTTCCTAAACCCAAAAATCATACCTAACAATTTCGAAATTTAAAACTATAACAAACATTAACAAATAAATATATGAAAATAAAAAATACCAAGAATATTCTAAGTTCCATTAGTATTAATATAAATAAGAGAATAATCCATCGATGGTGTATAATCCTCCCAAAAGATTATTAGCGATAAAGACATTTTTTCTATCAAAAAAATGGCAGAAACTAATGACAACCAATGTGGTCTTCAAAGAAGTGTTCAAGAATCTTTAAATTATAATTCTCCAGTTTTTCTTTTCATTTCTTGCAAGTATGACTTCGGTTACATTTCTTTCAATAACATCTTCAAGACTTTCTCATTATAAACTTTGGTTTTCCAATTCAACAATTTCTATTATACTACTCCAGTTAACAAATGCAATCATTAGTTGAAGATAAAAATTTTTTATAAAAAGCCAAATCACGTTACATTATTTAAGAAAACTAAACCAGCAAACTATGTTTTGAAAATACACCCGCACGTACGTGCGGGTCATCATCTAGTTAGTATTACAGCGATGCTAATTTTAGCAACTTGCTTGATTTGATATGATAATTGATTATTAGGCAAATCAAGATGGTATTTAAAAACATTAGCTATGGGTCGTTGAAAATTTTAGGGATATCAAAAGAGTAAATTTTAAATCCATCATTCTCAAAAATTTTGACCTTTTTTTTTCTAAACAAATCTTCATTAATATAGTAGTATAACATTTCTGCTAAATGCATTGACAAGAAAAAGAAAAAAAAAACACTACAAAAGTTTAGTTTTATTATCGACAATAACACAACTCCCAACCCCATCAATTATGTGGTCACCAAAGACAACTTTGTATAGACCAATAAAAATGTTAGCAATGATAATTCAAGTGCAAATAGCTCAGTAGTAGTATTAAACAACTTGATTCACTATTTATTATGCCACACATCATTATTACTTTTTACAATAGACTTAATATGATATACCTTTAGAAAGTTATTCTAATTATTTTTTAATGTATTTTCAGTGTAACGTTTACCATATATATAGTAACTCTGATTTCAAATTTTATTGTAGTTTAGTATCATATTACATTTTTTTTACTAACTTTATTTAGAAATATGTACTTTCAAATTTTAATATAACATATTTTTATCTTTTCAAATTAATACACGATATTCGTTTCCATGGTTAACATCTATTAACAATAATATTGAAAAATCAGCCCCTAATCATTTGGTATGTATTTGTTTTTCTTTTTTTAAGGACATATATGATTAAAATCTGGAGAACGTAAAGCTTAATTAAAATATAAAATTTAATGTTGAGACTTGAGAGTTCAATATTGTTCTAAAACTTTATTTGCTGTTCTTTGCTGTAAGGCTTTGATTTCGATTTGTTATAGATATCTTTTTCTCTCAAGTGTTTGTTTTTTTTATAAAAAGCGTCAATTGCGGCTTGATGTAAGAATGGTCTATGTAGGACATAAATAAACCATATAATATAGTTAAGCCATTTTTCTTATCTTATGTATTACTCACACATTACACATTCATACACTAGTCATTTCGAATTTGAGTTATATCTACTATTACAAACCACATGATTAGAGAAGTTTGTCAATGTACCAAATTAACTCATCAATGACATGTAGAAGCTGATTCTCTAAAAGACATCCATGGCATAACTCGATCACTCTATGTCATTATCGAAAGTTTAAACTCGCTTTCTTTGTTGAGTATGATGATATAGTTTAGTAGTACTTAACTAACTTTCAAGTTTCAACCATGGATTATCTAGACTAATTTTTTTTCTGTAACTCTCTCAAATTATCGAATTTCATTGGGTTTAATTAACATGCAAAATCGTTAATAATTTATTGTTATAATTTCAAAAAAAAAATGAAAACAAATACTAAACTATTTAAATACAATTTTTATTGAGATTAACCAATGAATTTTTAAAATTAGAAAGTTGAAAGAACATTATATACTAAGTCTAGAACCTTTACATTAGTATTCTAACTAAAATCCCAAGAAAAGTTAATAAAATAGTTATCATTAATCCTTAATCTATAAATTAACCAACGAAAGGTCTTCAAAAATTTGAACGGGAGAAAAAGTGATTTCGATATTGACAGCCAGAATTGATGATAATGGTAGTGGGAGTCGTTAAAACTTGTTAATATGTATGCATGTATGTCGATAAGGTTCACAAAGCCATTTTTGTGTGTTTTCTGGGTTTTATATTAAAAAGCTTTAGACCCTACGTTCACTTTGACAACCTAAGATTCAAATCATTCTACTTCTTTCTTTGCTGTGTTGTTTTTTTATCTTTTAGAGGAAAAACAAATTGAACTTTTCTTTCTTTGTGAGTTTTTTTGGTTCTTTCGGAGAATAAGGACAAATCATAAACGAAGAACGAAAAATCATCATTAGAGAAGGACTATTACAACTTTCATATTTAAGCCCAATAAACTAAATTTAAAGCCCGGCCCATTCAACTATCTGGGCCATGTTTTTTAATTTTGTTTCTTTAGAGGGGGATCTCGTCGGCGGCTAACTAAATTTCTAATCGGAGGTTTTAGAAGCATTTCTCAAGATGGGTCAAGCTCAGAGTGACGAGAACTCAATTCCAACGACGACGACGAACACTCCTCCTCCTCCGCCTTCTACGAATTCGCCGCGGGATTCTCATGGCGGTGATACGAATTCGTCTCCATCGATGGATTCTCTCCTCGCAGGTTCGTTTTTTTTTGTTTTTTGTGTGTTCTGTATCTCGCTTGAGAGAATGAATACCCAAATTCGTTGCGTGGGCAGTTTTCTTTTTTGTGAAATTGGAGATTGTTTTGGTTATATGCTTGATCGGTTGATGCTAAAATGTTCATAGCATTTGAATTTTGCGATTCTCCATAGTATCAGTTCATAATCGCGTTTTTTGCTTATAGGGAGATTCTCAAGTCTTTGTCTATGTAATTGTTTCTATTAGAGAATACATCCTTCTAGTCCAGTTTTGGTTTTCAAGAAAGATTTTCAATTCTATCTTTGTATCCCCTAGAAACACGTATATGTATTCTTTGTTGTTTGGTCTCTGCGCTGTTTGACATTATTGTTCTCACTTCAATAACACAGAAGCTGCCGCTTATGGTGAGGATGAGAATGAGAATGAGGTTATTCTTTCAAATTTTTTCTTTATTCAGTTGTGCACAAGTTTTTTCTCTTTTCTTTGAGTTTATCTGACAAATACCAAATCCATCAGTCGCTTGAAGCAAAGGCACAGAGAGCTCTCGATTGTCCTTGCATAGCAGATTTACGTAATGGCTCTTGCGGCTCTCAGTTCTCCGAGGCGTTCCTTTGCTTTTTAAAAAGCACTGCTGATGAAAAGGTAAATTTTGTAACTCAACTTTATTAGATTGTTTAGTATGATGTAACCTCAGCTGAAACTGCTCGAATTCGAAACACTAGAGATGTATTATGCAGACTCAACCGAAATGCTCCTGAAATTGACACATTGATGATGTTAGCTGTTTCTCTTTCGTTTACGTTTTTTACCCTTTAGAAGAGAAGCTTCACTAGTACATTGGATGTGCTGTTGTTATTTCAAGAATCATACTGAATATTTAGATTGTTTAGGATAGTGTAACCTCAACGCAGATACTCATTAACATTGGTGATAGTTGTGTTTTTTATGAAAACGTTTTTGTCCCATTTAGAAGGCAAGCTTCACAAAGATATTGTATGTGTGTTGTTGTTGTTGCAGGGATCAGACTGTGTGCATCCATTTGTAGCATTGCAAAGCTGTATCAAAGCCAACCCGGATGCATTCTCTAAATCAGTTACAGAGGACGAAGAAGAAAAAACCGAGAAAAAGGAAGAGCAGCCGCCTGTGCAAGACCATAGAATCATCCCACCTCTCTGGGCGAAAGACCCGCCTCGCAGTAACAAATCCAAGCTTTAGAAGATCAAACAACAATGGAGTCAGCATTAGAAGCTATTATTTCTTCCTCTACATGACAACAGACAGAAGAAAGTTCAAGAGAACCATAATCAATGGTCTTGTAGATCAACATCGTTCTTTATTTTTGATATAAAAAAAAAAGTTGAGATTTTAGTTGTTCAAACAAGACACCAAATCGTTATTATACTGTGATAACCAAAGCTCAACCCATGGTAGTAAACCATACGGGTTAAGTTACAGAGATACAAGTTTGAAACTAGAATAACCGAACGGTTTAATTCGGTTTGATTTGAGAAATTAATGGCTTTTAGTTAATTAAAATCGCATTAATCAGTTTTCGTTGTCAAGAAATAAATACTGCGAAACACGGATAAGGAGAGATCTCTGTGAATAGAGTTGTTGCGTACTAGGAGTCTGCGAAGCTTGCACGAGAAGAAAGCAGAATGGGAAAGAGAGGAATCTAAATCGGAAAGTGAACCCGAGAAGCAATCTAGGATTACGATTTTACCAATTCTGATCTGATTAATTTGTGGTGATTTCCGATGGAAGAAGACGGTGCCGGCGGTGCGAAAGTGGGAGCGCTGGAGAATTTCATGAGGACGCAGCAGAGCTCCTTGAAATCTTTATTCCAGCGTAAAAAATCGTCCTCTGGTCGTGATGGAGATGCTTCTCCGTCACCTATCGCTTCCCCGAAACCTATTCCTCAGCTCTCTCTTCTCGCCAATTCCGTTGTCTCCCGTTGTTCAAAGTACTCTATCTCTGTAACCCTCTCTCAGATTCTTCATCAGTTTCGAGATTCATATACGTTTCGGATCCTGGGCTTTACTTGCCATTGCATAATCTTTGATACGGGAATCTGTGTAGCAATTTAGGATATTAAAAACTTGGAATTGGTGTTCTGTGAATTTATTTAGGAACTCCATTTTTTTTGGCCAATTGCAGGATCCTTGAAATAGCCACAGAAGACCTGCAACATCATTTTGATGTTGAGTTGCCCGAGAGTGTTAAGCAACTATTGACATATGCAAGGAACTTTTTAGAGTTCTGCTCTTTTCAGGCACTTCATCAAGTTATGAAAAAACCTGATTACCTAAGTGATCCAGAGTTCCGTCAGCTTATGTTTGATATGATGCTTGCTTGGGAGACCCCAAGTGTCGCTAGTGAGCAGGAGAACAAAGTAAGAAATCTATCTATCTGATCTTCATTTTTGGTGTTTTATTGAAACAGAAATGTTTGGATTAATCTTCTTGTTTTTGTCTCAAATTTGCCAAGTTTAGGATGCAGCATCTCCCTCCAAGCAGGACTCAGAGGATGAGGACGGCTGGTCGCTATTCTATTCTAGTCCCACTAATATGGCAATGCAGGTTATTACCGTTTTAGACTTCTTTTCTTTATACATTATTTATGATCAGAAGGACTGAACTGATTTTTCTCCTGAAATATATGCTTAATAGGTTGATGAAAAAAAGTCTGTCGGACAGGAGGCGTTTGCAAGAATTGCTCCGGTTTGTCCTGCCATTGCAGATGCAATAACTGTACATAATCTTTTTGATGCACTGACTAGCTCGTCAGGCCACAGGCTTCATTTTCTTGTATATGACAAATACATCCGCACACTTGACAAGTATGAACTTACCTCTACCTTTTCCATTCCTTCGATTTGTTATTCTGCATTTGTTTACTTGATGCGCCGTCGAAGTGTTATAACAAGTTGGCGATGTTGTAATTTTGGTCTCTTTTTTTGGTACTTCGAATACTTCAGTCTACTTCTGTAGTATCTAGTTACTTATTCTTACCTCAAGCACACCTAATGATCCCTTTGCTGGCAAAATATTACGTCAGAAGAGTATTGTTTGCTAATTAATATTAAATTCTAATGTTGAAGATCATTTAAGTTTTCTGTGGCTCATTTAATGGTATACAAAGCAGGAATGAATATTTTTTGGATATCATGGCTTCGATTTAGAAAGAGATAAATCCACAGAAAAAAGTGTTGCCCAAATTTTTCATGCGGATGTTTCTTTTCTCAAGATATTTGGTTATTCTCTTATTTTTTCTTGCCCTTATTGTATTTGTAGGATTTTCAAGGCTGCAAAAAGCACTCTAGGACCTTCAGCTGCGAATCTACAGCTTACCAAGGGAGAAATAGTTCTTGATATGGATGGTGCAAATCCTGTTTTACCGGTTCTTAAACATGTGGGAATCTCAGCATGGCCTGGTGAACTCCTGGAGAAATCTCTGCAAATAGTCATTTTATTTATTCTAACATTCTGCATTGGCATTATATTATACCTTAAGCAAAAGTAGAGACATGGAAATTGTGGTTTAAGTTGGTTGGTTTCGTTTCCATCTGAATATTTATCAACATCTCCTTTTGTAGGTAAACTGACACTTACCAATTGTGCTTTATATTTTGATTCAATGGGTGGTGGTGATAAGCCCATGCGATATGATCTCACTGAAGATACGAAACAGGTCATCAAACCTGAGTTGACAGGGCCATTGGGTGCTCGTATCTTTGATAAAGCCATCATGTACAAATCAATTCTAGTGTAAGTATGCTCGTGGACTATAGTCTTATGTCTGTCCCATTTATGATCCTTCACAAAATAAGTGCTCATAGATTTTTATATTTGCTTTATCTTGTTCTGTTTGTACAGGCCAGAGCCGGTATATTTTGAATTTACGGAGTTTAAAGGCAATGCTCGTCGAGACTACTGGTTGGGAATATGCCTGGAGATCCTTCGTGTACAGTGGTTCATACGCAGATACAACTTTAAAGGGATTCAACGATCGGAAATACTTGCAAGAGCAATCCTTGGCATATTCCGGTACCGTGCAATAAAGGAAGCTTTCCATGTCTTCTCTTCCCAATACAAAACACTGCTTATATTTAACCTGGCAGAAAGTCTCCCTGGTGGAGATATGGTCTTAGAAGCTCTATCTAGCCGTGTCTCTCGCATAACCACCGATGTTTCTTCTGATGTCGGTTCTGTTCAGTACATGAAATGGCCCTCAAAGTTATCTCCAGTCTCACTCAAATTGCTTGAGCATTTTGGCTTGAATCTAGAAATTGGGACAAATATGGGTGAAGAAATGGCAATCGTAGGAGATTTCTGTGTTGGGGAGACGAGTCCATTGGAGATAGCTCTGAAACAGTCAATCCTAGACACAGACAGGGCTGAAGCTGCTCAGGCGACTGTGGATCAAGTGAAAGTAGAAGGAATTGACACTAACGTAGCAGTTATGAAGGTATCACGAGATGATTCGTTCTTCATCTTTTTTCCTTTTTCTTTGCTTCATAGTTACTATTAACGGATAGTTACATTGCAGGAGCTATTGTTACCTTTCATCAAACTAGGCTTGCGTATAAATCTCTTAGCCTCTTGGAAAGATCCTTATAAGTCAACAGTGTTCATGATATTAGTCAGCTATTTGATCATCAGGTGAGATTTCACCTTTAAAGACATGATGGAAAAGATTGATTACAGTGCCATCACAGGAAGCTAAGTTTTGATTTGTTTCTTGATGAGACTCAAAATCTTGTTATGTTGTGCAGTGGGTGGATTGGTTTCATACTTCCGTCAATATTAGTCCTAGTGGCTATAGTGATGTTGTGGCGTAAGCAGTTCAACAAAGGGAAAGAACCAAAAGTCGTTCGAGTGAAAGTTCCACCAAGTAAAAACGCAGTGGAGCAGCTACTCGTGCTACAAGATGCAATTAGCCAGTTTGAGTCGCTAATCCAAGCAGTTAACGTTGGTCTCCTCAAAATAAGAGCCATTACTCTTGCAATTCTTCCACAGGTATAAATATAATGTGATTAAAACATGATGACTGGTTTGAGATATATTATAGATTTGCGGTTAATAATAACTCTGTCTCTGTAATATGTTTCCAGGCTACGGATACAACGGCTATATCGCTTGTGGCTATGGCAGTTATATTGGCGTTTGTTCCAGTAAAGTACTTAATAACGATTGCGTTTATTGAGTGGTTCACGAGGGAAGTTGAGTTGAGGAAAGCGAGCAGTGACCGGTTAGAGAGGCGGATAAGAGAATGGTGGTTTAGGGTACCAGCAGCTCCTGTTCAACTCATTAGACCCGATGATGGCAAGAAGAAGAAGAAATGACACTCTCACTCGCATTTGTCTCTCTTTCTAGACAACATGCTTTTGTCTTTTTAGAATTATGTATTTGTTCTTCTCCATTTTAAGTAAGATTCAGGTTTATTTCAGAAATATGAGTCGCTCAAATTGGTTTCATCAAAAATAACTAATTTGCGTAAAAAGTTATTTAACGCGATAAATACAATCCCTTCTTCATTTGGCAAAGTCACTGAAAAGGAAGAAACTACTACACCTAATGAAAAACCATTTCTTTCATATAGTCAACGTTCTTGTGATTGATACTAATGCAGACGCAACTTAATTATTGTTATATCATTTCTAGATTAAGGTATTAGTTTAAATATATGCATGTATACAAATACATTATTTTATGCATGTCAGCCTGTATAGAAATACACTATTATAATATCGTAGACTACACTAGTACTATATCTGTATATCCCAATAAGATGAAATCCAAAGCACAATTATAGTTCTAGAGAAACGATGATTTACATATTACTTGACTACGACCATCGATAAAAAATGGTCTAGTCCAAATATGTATATGCTAAAACAATCTAGACCTAAAAATGAAAATCAAAGTCTAGTCCAACTATAATGCAAATACTTTAACATGCAAAACAAAACAAAAAAACAGAAAAAATGATGATGAGTTTGACCATCGATAATTAAAAATGGTATGTTCCTAATTCCTATATGTTAAAGCAATTTAGACCTAAATATATGAAAATCTGATCAAATAGAGCCTGTTGACCCCCAAATATTAGCAAGTAATATCCACTTGAAAATTTCAAAGAAACAAAATCCTCAAAGTAAATAACAGCAGAAGCAAAACATAACCATCAAAGTCTGAGAAAGAGACTGGGAAAGAGTCTGAGAAGGAGTCTGAGAAAGAGTCTGAGAAGGAGAGAGTGAGAAAGAGAAAGAGATACTTCCTTAACGGCAGAATGTTTTCATATGGCGACCACATCATTTGTTTTTGGGCTTTCCACGAAAAAACTTCTGGGACATAAAGAAGTTGAAGTCGTTGTGAAAGAAGCTGACTGTTCTCAGCCACGAGGACGCAGCTTGTTCATACATCTCTATCGTCAGCTTGTCTGGTGTCCCAGGCATGATCCACACATCACCAACGGCCCTGTAAGTCACTGCAGCAAATGCAGGCAGTTCAACTTCCCTTTCACCTAAAACTCCTTCTTCTTTCCCCTTAACATCTTTATCAGTTGTTTCTGAGAAATCACAAGCCAAAAAAAATAGTTTAGATCTATGATAATAATGATAAAGAAACACGGAAAATGTAATCAATCAAACCCTTGTTTAAAAAAACATAGAGCTTATGATATCAACACCACCATTACAATCACTAGAAGTTAACTAGTTGTACTTACTAAAAGACTGATTCTGCTCTAAGAAAATAATATAATCAACTAAAAGGAAGTAAGTGTCTTGTGAAAACAGGAAAACGTATTTAGAAACTGAAGATAAGACTTTTATGCAGACAAAGAGTGGCTAGGATTGGTAACAACTTTGTGCCAGATACGCAACTTCTCTATCTCTTGTAATCAATAACAAGTATAATACCATAAAGAGACTAATCCCCTATCTATCTGAAGATTCTGATTATCACTCACGTTAAAGCATAACCCCTACTGCTCTTCAAAAGCTAATTCAATAGAGAGAATTCTCCCATGATTAAGGTACTATTATAAATCAATCAACCTCAATAACTTAATCTTTTGCATTTCTATCAGTTATATAAAAGATGATTTCCAGATAATGAGTATCAGTATATCACTATTACAGATCGTCATTTCCAAAGTAGCATACAACCTAACAAGAACAAAGTACAGGAACTATATGCCTAAATCTATCTAAAACTTGAATACTCTAAAGCACATGCAAGATGGTTTATCAGAAGTTTATTTTGATAGCAAATGTATAAATTGTTAAGTCTCAAATGACCATAGTACCTGGAAACATTGGCTTCAGCGAATGGTATGTCAGGAAAGCGGCAGCCATACCCTTTTTATTTGGCACAGATGGAATTGAATAAATGGGATACCTAAAGAAATTCCAATTTAATATTAGCACAGTAAGGATTTACGGATAAATTACTTATTTGGCATAAGACATCAACTAACATCAAAACATAAATCATGGGAATAATGCATGAATCATATGGAAACAAGTTGTTGCGAACGTGACAGGCTAATATAGTAATATGTCTCATAGAGAGACCGTGAACAATTAACTAATCACTCTGTAACCTATTCACGAAATTAGTAAGAACATGCTAAAACTGAACAAGATAATAGAAAATTCGACATACCAAGCAATAGCAATCCAGCTATAAGGAGAAAGATCTGAACTCTTCAGAGTAGACAATCCAGGGTGCTTCTCAGCTAGATCATCAGTAAACTAAAAAATACATTGCCAAGAAAACAAAATACTTTCCATTAATCAATGCTTATGGAGAACCAATCGAACATCAAAAGGGAAAACAAATATTACTATAAGATTACCTTGAGAGTAAGTGGAAACCTGTCATATGGCTTTTCTGTCTCATTAAACTGATAATAAAGGTAGCCCATGTGATCAGCATTCTCAATTGGTTTGCTTGAAGATTCAGGTTCAGCAGCTCCAGCATTCACAATTGACTTGCTTGAGGAGTCAGGTTCAGCAGATCCAGCATTCACAATTGGCTTGCTTGAGGAGTCAGGTTCAGCAGATCCATCATTCACAATTGCCTTGCTTGAGGAGTCAGGTTCAGCAGATCCAGCATTCACAATTGGTTTGCTTGAAGAGTCAGTTTCAGCAGATCCTGTCACTGTACCATCCGTTCCAATGGCAGAGCTCCTACATTCAGAACAAACTACTTGAAAGAACTACAATAACAATAGTCAAATTCAAATCATAAACAAGAACAAAACATTGGCAATGTAGATAAAAAAAAAACACAAGACAACTGAGGAACTCCAAAAAGGCATAAACTTTATAGCTCTCAAACCATCACGAACACTTGACAAAACAAGACCCTCATAACCAATTTCAAGTAAAGTCACATACTTTCATTTCAGAACTTGATACCCATGAATCAATAAGACACAATATGGTGGTGAGAGAGAAGAAAAACCGAACCTTGGATCATCATCACTGAAGGGTTTGATGGTGAAGATCTGAATGGCAGAGAGGTAAGGAACAAGGTGGTATTTAACCATTTCGTCGAAGCCATCCACGGAAATGCGAACTTCGCGACCAAAAGAGCTCCACTCCTCAAGGGCAGACCAGATATCGTCAAGTACGATGCAAGGCCTTCGGACTTCTTCATCACCTACTTTGGCTCCTGAAGCACTTGACGAAGACGACGACGATCCCTTTCTCTGCAATCAGATTTTGAAATTGAGGTTTAAACGTCTTTGTACATTATAACCCGATTTGCACTATTCGGATCCTTAAACCGGGTTGGAATAAGGCAATTGTAAACAATTCTTAGAAAAGCCCTCTTATTGTTTCTATGGTTTACACTGATCCCTCGATATTTATAATTTAACATAAATTACCCAAATAAAATAAAACCTAGACAATATTTGCTAAGATCTCATAATTATATATAAAAAAAAATCAATATTTCTATCATGGTAATCAACGACTAAACGTATATAATTAGTCTTTGACCAATCCACATAATATTTTAGCTAAATTAATTAACAGAAGAAGAACACATGCATGGTAGATTGATAGATCAAATTCTAAACCCTTTATAGAGAAATGAAACGAGAGATCTAATAAACAATAAAATTGACGAGCCAAGAAGATCATTTGAAGAACAGATCGATACCAAAAGTAGATCATACGATTCTGTTTGTAAACTTATATGTAAATCCATATCATAATCTATGTACATATAGCTCACTGTAAGATGACGATCTATTAATAGATTTTGATATAAATGTTCATTGCTTTTAAACAAATGATTTTTATAAAAAAAAATTCTTCATATTTCTGTTTGTGAAATTAATTAGATATATATATTTTTTGTGATTTAGAATGTTCATTCAAAACAAATAAAATTTGACGTTAAATAATATAATAAACATAGAGATGTGAAGATGAACGTTCTCGAAATCAGATTCGCAAATATTTGTTCTAAAAAAGGATTAAAAACCAAACAAATATAAGATTAAATATAAAATAATAATGAATTAAGACACGTGGAGATGAAGATTCGAGAAACCTCTCGAAATTAGATTCGAGAATGTTCGTTTGAACAATTTTTAGTAAAAGGATTAAAACAAACAACTAAACATAATTGTACCTCGGTATAATACCGAACTGGGACACGTGGAGCCGAACATTCGAGAAGCCTCTCAAAATTAGTCATATTTCTCCCAGTTATTTTGTTGATGAAGTTTTCTTTTTTTCTCTTTTTTTCCTTCTTATAATTATTTTTGAGATATTTTAAGAGTTTAAGAAGTATGGGAAATAAATTAATAAAGAGAATACAAACAAAACAAAGTTCAAGAAAAATTAAATGAATTAAAGTAGCTTTTTAATATATGGCAACAAAATTATAGTTCAGTCAATATTGTCTTATTATTGCATATTTAATATTGGTCTAGTCAGTCTTCATGAATTCAATATATTTCCAAATTTTTGAAGGAAATACATATAAATATTTTACAGTTACACTATCCTTTTTTTTAATAGAAAATCATACTTTGTTGTTGCAAGAGATATTTATCTCTATGTACAATATTTGGTCCCAAATGGCAATTAACTTCATATGCAATTGCAATTTAAGTGTGGAAACAATATGATTAAAAAACGCTAAATGCGATTAGTTAAAATTATGAACGGAAATGTGATTAGGCTACAAGCCTACAATGTGGTTAACATCTACAGGTTTATCAGTTGCAAATAATGAAAATTAGAATGGAATTATATTATTCAACTTAATTTTGGGTTCGCTAATGAATAAGTAAGAGTGATAATACATGGAAATGACAAGGCACATAAGAGAGGTGACATGGCTAAGCCACAAAGCTTATTAGAATCCTCCAATCACCAAATCTTTCTTTTAGGCTAAGGCAACAAAATGTCTCCCAACTCTCACTTTTCGTAACTTTTTTTCTAAATCTATTTACTTTCTTTTTTTTTGTTAATTAATGTCGAGCTACATCATATGCTAACGATTAGATAAACTATTTAATTACAGATTATGAGAATGATCTGTCATGTATAACCAATATGGACTCTTCTCTTTTCCTTTTCTTTTTTTGCTTCGCTCCTTTATTAATTTGTAACTTTTCTTTGACCAATGAACAATTTGCCCCAAAAGTATTATTTTAATATGCAACAATGTTCAATATTTTTGCACTCTTATAGAATAGTTACAGTAAAAAAATATCTTATCCGACTAACGAACTGGACCCCAAAAATGTCGACGAAATATTGTCAAAGCTGTGATCACTAGAAATAGAATACAATATGGTTTCATTAATATAATCGATGATTGTTATGGTGTAAATGGATGATTGATGCGGTAATTGCTTTACTAATAAAAAGTATTGAACGAAATTAAAGTTAAAATATAACATAAATAACTCTGCAAATTTTGAATACCCCTTAGAGAATAATATTTAAGATCAGTACATATATAATTTCTCTTAATTATATTTGTTGATCTCTATCTCAATGCAGATTAACCACACTAATTTACTTTAATGAATGCACACTAATTCCCCATAAGGTATGCTATTTAGCCTAATCTCTTTGTAACACAATTCTTGTAGGTATAGTTTAGCTATATATATATTCGACCAGGGGCGGACCCACGTTGGTGATAGTGGTGGCACATGCCCCCAGTAATATATAAAAACAAAAAAAAAAATAGTAATAATCAATGTTGTTTAAGTGGCAGAGTGGTTTCGTATTAAATCAAGTAAAGCTTGAGGTTGCGTGTTCGATTCCCTCTTGCCACATTTTGTCCCCATTAAAGTATTTAGCTGGATCTGCCCCTGTATTCGACTATATGATCTGCAAGATATCACTATGTAAACCTTTGTACTTCCGGTTTGAATTACCCTAACCGTTTTAGTTATAATTGATGTTAACTGAAAATAAAAACTAGCTACATATATATATATACTAGTTGTTGACCCGCGCTGCGCGCGGGAGGTTTATAATTTACACTTTGATTTGTTTTTTTTAACGGTTTTTATTGGTTTTTTGATGTTGTCATTTTTGTTATTCTATTTTCATATGGATTTTTTTTTCAATTTTGTATTAGTTTAGTACTTAAAAATGTTTATTGTTATTTGTTATTCGCCAGAGGGCGAGGGCAAGTTTCTGCGGTATTCTCTCTTTTTGCTAGGTATGAGATTAGAGAGATAATGTTTTTGCTGTCTGATTTTGATCTATTCCATGATATATGTTCTTGGATCTGGCTTGTTTTTGGTTTCTTCCTATGCTTATAAATATGTGTACTCTGTCAATGGTTTCAAAATCAGTGCATAGTTGCAAATGAGTTGTTCTTGTAAACATCGGTTCTAATAGATGTTTTTTCGATCTATCCTTAACCGGTTTGATTGTTGTATCCGACGTTTAACTTATCAAGTTCCAAATTCATGTATCCGATGTTTTCTCGATCTTTCTTAACTCGTTTGATTGTTGTGTAACCGTTGGGCCTCAAGTCCATGCCCTTTTGAAATTATTAATAAAACTGTTTTAAAAAGTTGATGATGTGGCGGATGATGTGGCGCTGATGTGGCGGAAATATATGTTCGTATTGTTTATGAGTAATTGGTTCGTATTTTATTTCCTACTTATTTTTTTCAGTATACCATACTTTACTTTTTTAAAACTTAAATTGTGTTTGTATAGAAAAACTATTGAGTTTTAGCTTTATTAGTCGTTGAAAAATTAAGTGTGTATAGTATAAGTCGAAGTGTGGGCGTAAATGGAAGTGCGCTTGAGAATCATTGAGAAACGTGTGCTATTAGGGTTTTTACCAAATATAGATGTAGATGTTAATATTTTGGGTCCTTTTATATGTTGGCATGAAATTTGAACATGATTTGTGGGTTTCGGGCGGATTGTTGTATTTTTAATTGTTTACATTATCTCTTTATATATTGTCATAATTTATTATTTTTTGTTTTACGGTTTTCTTTTTTGGATTTGTCGTACTTTATATCTCTTAATGATCATTTATATACTATTATATATTTATCTGATTTTATGTTTTATATTTTTTTCTGTTTTTTCATATGGAACAATTTTTAAATTTAACATATTAGTATAATTTACTTTATATTTAGTTTATTTCATTTAATAATGTTTTATTTTAATTTTCAATTTTATGAAATATAGTTAATTTTTATTTTGTTTATTAGTTTAACATATGTGTTGTATTGGAAACAAATAGTTAAATTCATATTGGAAACTTTTAAAGAAATATTATTTTTATTTTTACCTTTTTATATGTTTATAAAAAATAAGAATTCATGTTTCGGTCCGACCTATCTCACTTATGTTAGAAATTTTTTTGAGACATAAATAGATATATTTATATTCTCAAAATTTCTTAATTTTTGTTTTATTCCCGTTAAATCTCATTATCTTTAGGTTTACATTGTGTAAATATAATCATATATATATATATATTTTTTAAACATTCACTAAAAACTATAATCTATTATTTATATATTTGTTAGTATTATCGATAATTAGTAAGTTTTTTTAACTCTTAATCAATTATCTTTTTTAGTTTTATAATGTATAATATAAAAACAGACCTTTCATATTCATTTTGGAAAAACTTATTTATATAGGTTTAAATATTAAAATTAAATGATAAAATGATATAATTAATTTTAAAAATTAAATAATAAAATGAGGTGGATGATGATGTGGCTTAAGGAGAAGAGAGAAAAAGTTAACTTTATATATATATAGATATATAACACATTAATGGAAAATTAAAATATCGTATACGAAGAATTTCACGTCGATCATTTGGTTACATACTTTGAAAATGTGGTAAATTTTGGATTTGCGAGTGCAAAAAAATTAACTAATTAATTTGTAGAATCGAAATTTTGAATAAATATATATTATATGCTATGACATAATTTGTTTTTTCCTTTTGAATTTTATTGTCTTCTTGATAAATAACTACATAATCATGCAAGTCTTAACAACCATCTAATCATTCATTCACATCTTTTCAAAATTCATGTACCTATTTATAATATTGTAATCGCTAAATACAAATGTCCACTAAATATTATGGTATATATATACATGTAATATAAAATTTTGAACTCCAATAACTATATATGTGCATATCACATGGGTGACGAATTGATGAACCAACATCTATATATTGTAATATATGGTGGGATCAGTTTCAAATGGATCTCCCTTTTTGTGTTCTTATTTAACTATTTGTTTTGCTTATTTATACATTTGCTTTGTTATATATATAGTTTATAGAAATCAAATATAACCGATCTTTCTTATCATATAGCATAAAATAAAAGAAACAAAGTCATCATCATAAAGTCACAATGCCAACGCAGAAAGGTTCAAAGCCACGACGTCCCTCTTCTGCATGACTCAATTTGCTCTCACATTTTCAAAAAAGCATTACGTAAGATTTTGATTTTTTATTATAATGTTTCACCAATGTTCCCTTTTATTTAGGAAACATATCTTATCTCCTTATACATATATATATCTGAAAATGAAAAAAGCTTAGGTGTGTTTTGCCAACTTGTAGGTAAAAAGTTCGTTGCTGTGTAACGTCATTAATTACGTGTGTGATCATTTTTTTCTTTCTTTAAATTTCTCGCATCTCTCATATCAACTTTTAAAATGTTATTTGTATATTAGTTAAGTCAATCAATGGATCATTAAGAGAAATTAATTCAAGGAATCAATGTATATGAAGAAGATCCATATATATATAATTGTTTTGTTATTTTGGACATGAAACATTTTTCATTGTTACTGAAATTGCTTTAGACATATTTGTGTCGTCATAACAAGGATTTGGTAGTTGCAAAATCTTTATTTATACATTTCTTCTTTAACGATTTTTTTTTTGTTTACAAAGGCAACACAGAGCATATGCCCCCTTAAAGAAATTAAAGTAGCTTTTATCTCTATGACTTGATGACCCATCCATGACTCATCCTTTACCACAAAGGTCTTCAAGTCTCAACGATTCAGATCTTTGTTTCAACTGCCTCTTGTCTCTTTGTCTTTCCCTTTATATACCTCCCCACTAACACGGTTTCCATCATCAACCATCCACTCACAATCTCTCTCTCTCTCTCTCTCTCTCTCTCTCTCTCTCTCTCTCTGTTTCTCAAGATCAAGAATCAAGATTACTACACAATCCTCCAAGATGACATTGAGCAGAGTTCACCAACAAGTTCTTGCGTTACCTGCAGCCAAGACTGCTCCGGTTGGTTACTTGCCTGACCCTGCAGCTTCCATCAACAACCTCCAAATCCCAACTCCTTCAACAGACAAGAGAAAGAAGAAAACCGATAGCTTCACCAACGGAGCTAGAGACCAGGACAAGTTAAGACCTAAGCTAACTGAAAAAGTCAAGAGAAAGCTATCCTTGGGAGCTAAGATCCTTCAAATGGGAGGCTTAGAGAAGATCTACAAGCGACTCTTCAAGGTCAGTGATGAAGAGAAGCTCTTCAAGGCCTACCAATGTTACCTATCCACAACCGCAGGTCCCATCTCAGGCCTACTCTTCATCTCATCAAAGAAGATTGCTTTCTGCAGCGAGAGATCGATCAAGGTGGCTTCTCCTCAGGGAGATCTCACTAGGGTTCACTACAAAGTATCAATCCCCTTGAGCAAGATAAATGGAGTGAACCAGAGTCAGAACACAAAGAAGCCATCTCAGAAGTACCTTGAAGTAGTCACGGTCGATGGATATGACTTCTGGTTTATGGGATTCTTGAGCAACCAAAAAGCTTTCAACTGCCTTGAGCAAGCGCTTTCTCTGAGCTACGAGCAATGATAAGCCGCAGAGGTTTAATTTCCTCTGAGGCGCTAAGTAGTGCGGCTTAAAGAAGAAATATTTCATTTCACTTTAACCAGCTTATTCAATCAGATTATGTTAGGAGAAAGCCTAGGAAACACTTACAAAAAATATTGTACAAACTCATTTTTTCTTGCTTATATCCCTTATTGTGTCATCCGTTGTTGACATGAGCAAGAGATTTGAATATATTTAGTTGATCTCATCTGTTTTCCTGATTATTCACTGTCTTCTTTAGCACCACGATATGTCAAAAGAAGAATATACTGTACATGGAAATATATTTAAGAAAATGTGCCATGGGAGAATCCCCCTAAGACCATTTCATAATCTCTATCTTGGAAAATTCAAGATCCATTCTTCCCCTGACCAAAAGTAGGAGTCTTCTTCCATTTCAACAAAAAAAAGAAAAGAAATCAATGAAAATGTAAATCAAAAACAATTTAAATATTTGAATAAACAATCAAACATAATTAATGTTAATGATAATAATGTGATGATCGAATCATCCAAAAATAAAATAAAAATTACCGCTCAACTTTGTTGTATGTATAGTGTAATTAAGTTATTGAACAAGGATATCTCACGTTGTAACTTGTAAGAGTTGGTAATATTTAGTTTATTCCAAAGTTATGTCTCTGAGTTGCTATGACTCTTGGAACAACAAAATAAACAGCATACATATGGTATAGTCCATACTCCATCGTTAGTTTTCTTATATTCTCGTACCATGTCACTTCTTTGGAAATGTTTTGGTGCAAAAAAAGAACTGTGAAAAAATAATAAAAAATTGAAGTTATCAGCTAAATATATTCATTTATCTCTTTCTCATGAGTCCACCATGGAAAACAGAATGGGTAAAAAAAAGCATATGAATTTGTACAAACAATATCGTCACAGTCTTCTCTTCTAACTAGGCTCTTACTAATTATTTTATTGGTCATCATCGTTTAACGCTTGCTCGAGACAGTTGAAAGCTTTGTTGTAGCTCACGAATCCCATGAACCAAAAGTCGAAGTTATCGACTGTAAAAGCAAGATTATCAATGGTATCTTACATTTTAATCTTATGATTAGTTTAATAATAAATTTAAAAATTTAATAATAAATCTTAAAAGTTGTATTTGTGTTTTTTTGTTTTGAGACATCTTTATTGGTAGTATCTTAGGTTGGGGATTTAAAAAAAAGAAAAATTATATAAAAATTAAATTAAATTAAAATTTATAATTTGAGAAAACTTTATAATTATTGAAAAATTAAAAAAAATTAAAACATACATAAGATAAGATTAAGGAATGAAAGAAAGAAGAGAAAAATTAAGAAAATTGATTTTTCCCTTTATATATATATCCTAGAAAATTTTTGAGGAATGCCCCTTTTAGTGTATCCTTTTTTAAAAATACCTTTCTTTTCTATCCATTTTTAAAAATACCCCTTTTCAAATATGAAAAAATTATAAACTTTTATATGGTTGATAAGGTACATCAAGATCATCATTACTACTGGAAGACTAAATCCAAATAACTATAAGGTTTTAAGACCATCTCCAATCCTAAACCTCTGTGGAAGGTTCATAACAATGAAAAAATTGTGACAGAAGAGAGAGATTGTGCCGCCAAAGGTAAAAAAAAAGAAAAAATATTTTATTTATTTATTTAATAATGCACAACCAATGAGTTATTGCCACATACTTTAACACCCGTTGCTTAAACTCCCTAGTTTAGGCTAGCCCCTTAACTTTTTATTCCTTTTTGATTTAATTTTGATGAAATTAAACTTTAGAACCTAACTATAAACCTCCCTTTGGAGGTGCCCTAAGAGGTTCTAAACGGCATTTATAAGGTTTTTACAAGGTTTTTAAAAGGTTTACAAAGTTTTTATAAAAGGTTTTTAAATGATTTTTAAAAGGTTTTTATGCGGTATTTATGAATATATATAAAAATTTACACACATATAAAGATAATTTGTGTCTATAAATATAAACTTACACATATATTTTTGATAAATTTCAAATTTTATAGTGACTTTTTTTATTATATATATATATTTATTCTACTACCCAATAGAATCTTGCCACGTGTACGCTTCTTAGCACAATACTTAGATCTTAAATAAGATAGCTTCTTAGACATTTTGATGTATTTTTGATTTAATTAAATCACAAATAATCCTAAGATCTATCTAAGATCTTGCCTATAATGATGGTCTAACTACTTCAAGGTACTTCTTAGATGGTTTCTTCATGTTCTGACTCTGGTTAACACCATTGATCTTGCACAATGGTATTGAGACTTTGTAGTGAACCCTAGAGATGTCTCCTTGAGGAGAAGCCACCTTGATCGATCTCTCGCTGCAGAATGCAATCTTTTTTGATGATATGAAGAGTAGACCCGCGATGGGACCTGTGGTTGTGGATAGGTAACATTGGTAGGCCTTGAACAGCTTCTCTCCATCACAGACCTTGAAGAGTCGCTTGTAGATCTTCTCTAAGCCTCCCATTTGAAGGATCTTGGCTCCCAAGGATAGCTTTCTCTTGACTGTTTCAGTTAGCTTGGGTCTTAAGTTGTCCTGGTCTTTAGCTCCGTTGGTGAAGCTACCGGTTTTCTTCTTTCGTAGCATTGATCTTCCTTTGCCTGATAGAAAAGAAAACTTTGAAGAAGCACTTGGGATTTGGAGGTTGTTGATGGAAGCTGCAGGGTCAGGCAAGTAACTCATCGTAGCAGTCTTGGCTGAAGGAAATGCAATAATAGCTTGTTGATGAACTCTGCTCAATGTCATCTTGGAGTATTGTTAAGTGGTGATCTTGATTCTTGATCTTGTGAGAAAGATAGAGAGAGATTGTCAATGATGGTTGATGAGGTTGATGATGAAACCGTGTTGGTGGGAGGGTATATAAAGGGGAAGAAACAAAGAAACAAGAGGTAGTTGGAAACAAAACATTGAATCTTTGAGACTTGATCGAGATCTTTGTGGTAAAGGATGAGTCATGGATGGGTCATCAAGACAAGGAAAAAGCCACTTTCTACTTAAAGGAGAGATATATAAAGAAAGAATTTGCAACTACCAAGTCCTTAATTGTCTATGACATTATTCTGAAGCTAACTTCAATATAACTAATGAAATGTTCGTAGCTCACAATGTTTCTTTATCATTGTCGGTAAGTAGCTTTGTCTTTCCGAATCAAAATGATGTGTATCTTCCTATTTATATGATTGTTACAAGTTTGTTCTCAAGCATATATATATACAACAAATATTTATTTGGTGTCAAATTAAAGCTAATATGTTACCATCCATTTTTCAACAGTACTCTACACTCACATCATAAACTGATGATCCCCTAAAAGGTAAACTCAATTTGTATATGAGAGAATAGAGATTGCCAAATTACAAAAACAAAGTAGAAAAGAAGATAAAAAGATGATCACACGGAATGAAGTTGGATCCGACGAGCTTTTTTTTTCTTTTTTACCTACAAGTTGGCAAAACAACACAAACTTTTATTTGTTGTCCTCCTTTGTTTAGCCTGATTTTAAAATTTTCACATATATCTTTATATGTAGAGGAGATAAGATATGTTTCCTTATTAACAGGAACATGCACGAAACAAGAACAAGAAAAATGAAATATTACGTAATGCTTTTTGGAGAGCATGCAAAATGAGATATGCAGAAGGGGACGTCGTGGCTTTGGAGCTTTACGCGTTGGCATTGTAGTGATCACTTTCTTATTATGCCTTTGTTTTTCTTTTATTCTATGTTAAGATTAGAAATATCAGTTATATATTTGATTTGAAATAATATATACAAAGCAATAAAGAAGCAAAACAAAAGGTTAAATAATAAGACCTCAAAAAGGAGATCCATTTGAAATGTATCCCACCATATATAGTATAAATGTTGTATCATTCGATCGATTCGTCACCCATGTGATATGAACATGGTGTATATGTGGGGTGTGGGTGCAATGTATATGTATTTAACTTTTAAATTTATGTATGCATGCATGATAACATTTTTTGGACTAGGTTTTTAGGTTTAGGTGATTATAAATAGGTACATTAACTATGTCTTTAGCAAAAAAATAAATATGAATGTATTAATTAATTAAAATAAAAGGAATGATAAGTCAGTTGTTTAAGACCTGAATGATTCAATCGGTAGTTGTTATAAAGATACTAAATTCAAAGAAAAAGAATATAATTATTGTAACAAATAATATGCATATGGTATCATCACTCAAAATTAAATATATTGTGTTATTTTGTCGTTCCTTAATTAATCATCACCCATTTATACCGTAATAACATGGCAATTAGAATAAATTGTTAAAGAAAATATCAATTATATTTTTATATAACTAAATAGATAACCAAATTTTTCCTACCGTCAGAGACTACTAGCTAGCTTTACTTAAATTCATTTTTTTGGGGGTCCATGTCCCATTAGTCGGATAAGATATTTTGAATATGTATGTCGATGCATATATAAAAAGAGTTGAAGAAGAAAAAAAATCAATATTTGTGGGGGATATGGTCGACTGGTCAAATTTTGTTTTTTGTTTGTAAAAAAGGTTACAAATAAAGGGAAAAATAAAAAGAAGAAGAGTATAGATATCAGTAGGGCATGCATGAAGGATCACATTCAAAGCTGTAATTAGATACTTTAATCCCTCTAAATCTAATCGTTAAAACTTTTCCGACGTGGGTGATGTAATTTGTCATAAAAAGGTGTATGAGACATGACGTGTATGTATATTTTTGCTTAGCCTAAAAGACATATTTTGGGTTCCAGACATGCATTCATGCAGTGCAAATGGGTTGGCCCTGCCATGCATGCATGCATGATCGATCTTTTAACTGCATGCATGACTACATCATCTTTGCATTAACATTAACAAATAAGCTACAAATAAAACATACACACAACATACTATGTTAGTAGGTTTGCTTTGTCGTGTCTATTTGAACAAGAAGATGTATACGATCTTTGCATAGCATCAACCATTTCTAAGTATAAGTTCGAAACAAAGTTGACATTTTATTAGTTGCATATATTGAGAAAGTCACAACAATGCCCAACGCAGAAAGCTTCCAAAAACCACGACGTACGACGTCTCCTTCTGTTTGTGTGACTTAGTATTGTGTGGATGTGATTCAAAAAGCATTATGTAATATCTGATTTGATTTCTTCTTGTTTCATGCATGTTCCAATTGACTAGGAAACATATCTTATCTTCTATATATATATTTATAGATATCTGTTAATTAAAAACTTAAAACTAAAATGATCAGGCTACCAAAAAAAAAAGAGAAAAATAATTCTATATATAAATAAAGCTTGCAATATTACCAACTTGTAGGTTAATATAAAGCTTGTCGGAGTCTAACGTCATTCCGTGTGCTCATCTTTCTTTATTTATTAGTACTTTCTTTTTTTCATTGTCTTTTTTTATCTTTGGTATCTCTAAATACTATTTATAACTTTAGCATGTGATTTAATATTTATATATATAATGGATCATCAGTATGTAAATAGGAAACTGAAACATGTGAAAGAAGATCAATGAGTTCTTAAGTTGTTTTGTTGTTTGGAAGTGACAAGCAAAAACATTTCATCAGTTACTGAACTTACTCTCGACAACAATTGTGTCTTAAGACAGATTTGGTAGTTGCATAATCTCTATATACTGTTATGTGTTTCTCCATTTAACTATATGATTATTTTTCTCAGAAAATAAAGTAAGCCAAACAGAGCATATGCCCTCAAATAAAGTAGCTTTATCTATGTGGTTTGATGACCCATTCATGACTCATCCCTTTACCACAAAGACTCAACAATGCAGAGCTTTGTTTCAACTCCCTCTTTTGTATTTGTCTTTCCCCTTTATATACCTTCCCACCAACACGGTTTCATCATCAACCATTACCCGTAATCTCTCTTTCTTTCTCTCAAGAATCAAGATCACTACTCAACCATCCAAGATGACATTGAGCAGAGTTCACCAACAAGTTCTTGCATTTCCTGCAGTCAAGACTGCTCCGGTTGGTTACTTGCCTGACCCTGCAGCTTCCACCAACAACCTCCAAATTCCAACTTCTACAAAACTTTCTCCTTCAACAGACAAGAGAAAGAAGAAAACCGATAGCTTCACCAACGGAGCTAGAGACCAGGACAAGTTAGGACCCAAGCTAAGTGAAACAGTCAAGAGAAAGCTATCCTTTGGAGCTAAGATCCTTCAAATGGGAGGCCTAGACAAGATCTATAAGCGACTCTTCAAAGTCTGCGATCAAGAGAAACTGTTCAAGGCATACCAATGTTACCTATCAACAACCGCAGGTCCCATGGCAGGCCTACTCTTCATCTCATCAAAGAAGATTGCATTCTGCAGCGAGAGATCAATCAAGGTTGCTTCTCCTGAGGGAGATCTCATCAGGGTTCACTACAAAGTGTCAGTCCCCTTGTGCAAGATCAATGGAGTGAACCAGAGTCAGAACACAAAGAAGCCATCTCAGAAGTACCTTGAAGTGGTCACAGTCGATAACTTCGACTTCTGGTTCATGGGATTCGTGAACTACCAGAAAGCTTTCAACTGTCTCGAGCAAGCTCTAAACGATGAGGACCAATAAACTGAAGTGATTTCTCTGAGGGAGCTAATTAGTACAAGTTGAAGAAGAAATATTTCATTTCTACTTTGACCTGTTTCAATCAGGGAATGTTAGTAAAGAACCTAGAAGAGACCGACAATATTGTTTGTACAAACTCATTTTTTTTCTTTTGCTTTACCCATTTGGTTTTCATTGTAGAAACGAGAAAGAGATTAATATAGCTAAGCTGATCCCATCACTTTTACTTAATTACTCTCCTCCTTTGCACCAAACATGTCAAAAGAAGTGTCATAGGATGAATCAAATATAAAGACATTACATAAAACCATTTCACAATGCTTTGAGATCGACAGGATCAATCTTTCCCTAAAGAGAAGGAGCAGTCTTCTTCCTTTTCAACAAAAGAAAAAACAAAGAGCTACACTGATCACAACAAAGCGGTCAAACATTTCTCTATTGTGTTACATAGAGAATCATAGTCTTCAAATATCAAGTGCTGAACCTTTTTTACTCTTAAGGAGAAGCAGATACAACGGAAACTACACACACTTTGCAAAGCAACAGAAGAATAATCAAGAAGTTGCCACAACCAAATATTTAATGCACAAAAATGTACAAGAGCTTGAGAGAGGACTCACTGATGGACCATAAGCCATGAGTGTACCCATACGCGAGACAGATACAGAGAGACAGAGAGAGATCACAGAAGGTTTAGGGCAGACACAAGCTTTCCTCAAGTAACGAAACGATCAAAGCAGAAAATCTGGCTCGGTTAAACTTCCAGAAAAGTTAACTTTACAACACTTGGGGAACTCCAGGCCAGCTTCACTGCATCTTATTTCTGTCACTTGTGGAAGAGATCTCACATCTAGATACTCCAGGAAACTGCATTTTTCCAAAAGCTTGCTTATTCCCGTTACTGTGATTTTGGAGCAGTTGCTCACCTTTAAAACCTTCAATCCCAAAAAATCGTCACTCCCCAAATCCCGGAAAGCAGTGTCTGTGATCTCTTCACAGCACCCGATATCTAGAGCCTCCAAGTTCTTGCACTTCTTCAGAATACAGCTAAGGGAAGAGTCAGATATATTCAAGCACCAATCCATCCTCAAATTCTTGAGACTATCTTTGCAGGAATCTGCCAGTAACATGATAGATTCGTCAGAGATGTCTCTGCATCCACCGAGTATCAGAGTTTCCAGATTCTTGCAAGACTGTGCCAGGGACAATACAGATTCGTTCCCGACCTTGTAACAGTCCAGCAATTTGAGCGTCTTGAGAGAAGATCCACAAGCTTTGGCCACGCTGGAAACTCCAGCATCTCCGACATTGCTGCATTTATTGATGTCCAAAGATTTAATCTTTCTGCACCCCTTCACAAGATCAGCAAGGCCTGAATCAGTGATACTGGAGCAGCCTTGTAGCCCGAGAGCTTCCAGATCACGGCATCTCTCAGAGAGTGATTTCAGCGATTCGTCAGTGATGAAACGACAACCCGCTAGATGCAGTGCCCTTAGATCATGGCAGCCTTCTGCAACAGCTGATAATCCTTTATCTGAAAGCTTTCTGCAGTAGGACACATCCAAAAACTGCAGCAATGAAAGACACCTTCCAATTGAGGCCAATCCAGTATCTGTAATACCTGTTCCCAGAAGAAGGCGAATCATTAAGCAGAAAATAATACAAAGAGGAAGAAGGTATGCAAAATTCTAAGCTTAATATTGTTACACCATCACAACAACATGTATGAGCTAATCTAATTTCTTACTAGAAAGGTCTATTTGTGAAAACAGAGACCCTAGTAAATTCTGACACAAAACAAAACAACATTGAAGTAAGCATAAAAACTTAAACACCAGAGAGTAAATCTAACACCGCAACTGTCTATTAAAAACCATAGCAACTGCATCTTAACTATCCATAAAAATCCTTCCAATTCAAATTCAATCAAAACAGAAATGGAACCCAGAGAGATAGGGAGAAAAGGGAACTCTTTTTAACAAAAAGCAGATACCTTTACAGTTGTGAAGATTAAGAACTCTGAGACACTTGAATCCCTCAGAGATAACAGCGAGATCAGAGTCAGTGACACCTGGATAAAAGGACCTAGAGATTGACTGAGACAAGTCCAATTCGACGATTTGAGTGAACCTAGAGGCTAGACGGCGGAGCATATGTGGACCAGCACGCGCCGCTAGCTTCTTCCGGTCTGTGCTCTGCAGTGTCAGCCACCTCTTGCAGACCAAACCAAACACTTCCTTTTCCTTGTCGCTGTCGAGCCTCGACAACACCCATCTCAGCTCGTCGTCAGTTAATGCTTCGTTAACACAGACCGACGACATGATCGGAGAGATCAAAATCGACAAAAAAAGATTTCGAATTTAGGATTAGGGCCACTACGAAATGAAAAGCCCTAATCTAAATCTCTCTCCTCAGCTACTATCTTTCGTCTCCTTCTTCTCCTTGCTGGTTAAAAGGGGCATTAGATGAGCCATACGGATCGTGTGGTACAAGGAAAGCAACACCAGATGTTAACAAAATGACGTAAAGCTCCTCATTTCTGAAATGATTGTGCTCGGTGGATGGGCAATTCAGGAATTTTCGCAGTTGGTACAAGGAAATGCGTCTTATCATCGAGAGCACTTCTAATGGCTGTTTTGTTGTGTTCTGTTTGGTCAGTGAGAGACACTTAACAACGAAAGTCAACGACTTTGAGATAGAGAGAGACATTAATTGTCTTCCCACTTTTGCTGCTTGTCTTCTTCCACCTTCTCATCACCTTATTAACACCTTTTTAATAATAAACCAAAAGTTTCATATATATCCTTCAAAACTCCTAACTCTTTCTAAATTCGGAACTCTTTTTTAGTCGTTACCTCAACGTTTGCCAAAATGGCGTCGAAGTTAAAAGCTTTGTAAACCGATGATATATATTACTCAATATTAAAATGGAAAATGTGATGCTTATTAATGTGTGAATCAATCGAACTCAATCCCTAAGAGTAGAAACTCTTGAGAACCATATGAGTTACGGAAACGTACTTCTTCTACATCCTCTGTTTCTATATGGAGATTCAATGTATCGACAAAGACCTTACACGAAATTGGATGCGCATCACCAACTATAAGTGAGCATGCTTTGTAAACTCCATTCTCAGGTGGTAAATTCAGCAGAGACGATGTCTGAATTGAGATCCTCCCTCCTTTGATGGTTATATCTTGTGTTCTCACCCTTGAGATAACCCTGTGTGGTCTGCCGAGGAGCTCTGTTACATACCTCACATCTCCTGCAGCAAGAGCTTGTCGGACTCGTGTGGACGATACTTGTCCTCTTTCTTTTGACTTTGAATCCTCTTCTGAGTCTGCATTTCCAGAGACTTGGTTCTTATCCATCACGGAGTTAATGATGTAAGCGCTGATACCGTACTCTTTGCATAACCTCACAAGTTCAGAAGCATCACCGGAAGCTCTGTATCCAAACCGGTAATTTTCGCCTGTGGAAAAACAATTGTTTTTAGAATGAGAATTTTCGGATATAAAAGGGAACTTTTGAGATACTTGTTTGGTATTCACCTGCCACAACTCCGCAGACTCCGAGCTCTCTTGACAACTTCTCGACAAACTGTTGTGGATTAAGATGTCGAACGCTGGCGAATTCAATCTCAAACTCTACTGGTGCTATGTTCCCACAATACGATGCCCAAGAGGAAAGGACCCGTTTTCGATCACATTTGGCTACTATCGGCGCCCTGCTCATTAGTTACCATAGAAGAAAAGACAAACAGATTAAAAAAGCAAACTTTATTAGCAGAGAAGATCAGTAGAATCACAGTCTACTGGTGTAACTAATTTCGACAGATAAGATGCTAGGTTAATTGAGAAGGTGGAGGAGAAAGCTGAAGAGAAGACTTTTAACGAGGTTTCCAACCGAGTACTTCAGCCATTCCAACAAAAGACAACAGATATGGAGTACCAACTCTTGCAGCTTGAATTGCAAGCTCTCTGTGACCGATATGCAGCGCATCAAACTTCCCTAGAGCAACAATGCCTCCTGCAAATAGACTTTTGTTTTGTCAAGACAAAAGACAGTCCATGATAAAGGCAACACAAAACAGTAATTACCAAGCTAAAAGAGACTCAGTGGAAACTTAACCAACACAAAGCCATAGAGCACTTAGATACATTATTACCAGCAAACATCTAATGTGGCGACCCTATATCTGGATATGTTCAACTTCACTAAAATACAATATCCTATCAACAATCCAGGTTTTTTTATTATCAACACAGGGATGGTGGGAACTTGAAATTCAGATAAAATATGCAAGCAAACGATACCTGCAACTGGCGAAAGCCCATCAATTAAAAGCTCGGGAGCATCGTCTCCCTGGCTTCGGAAGAAGAAACAGACAGATACTTTAGCAAAGACTCCAACTTTGAAACAATCAGATTATAAATGTCGATAGAGAGAAACAGAGAAGTGATTCAAAACCTGGAACAATCGTGAGGAACAGGGATTGTTTCTGGATTTTTGCAGTGAGACCTTGACAAAGAGTTCATCCGCTTCTGCAATTTAGCCGAATAAGGTCTGAGCACGAATGGAGACTGCCGAAAAACCTTAGCACCGAGCGTAGGAGGATGACGGTGATCCCACAAATGCACGGAGGCACGAGAGCCTCCGCATAACATGGTCTCTGACTCTACTTCTCAAACCCCCACAAAAAGAACGAAACTTGCTCTCCTAAACTCTTCACCGGAGCTATACATCACCGGTGACAGGTGTCGCTTAAACAGTTAACCCAGAGGTAAATGTCATATCCACGTCAAAACCTTCTCTTTAGCTGAGAGGGTTTGCGCATTTCAAAATCTTTATCCTTTCCTTAACAACAAAAACATTGTGTTTGTAGCTTCTAAGTAAATAAAACCAAATTCACATGTTCAAGTTTCACTTCACAAATGGAACACCAGAAGCAACGTTCTCTGCATACTCTATATACTCTACTCCAAAAAACTGCTTCAGAAAATGCTCCTCGTACGGTATTCTCTGAGCAAAAAACCGCCACACGACAACCATGAACATAACCGTTGAAATGGGATTACAGAGCATAACTTGTGTCCCTACCGACCAGATGAGAAACCCGCAGTAACTTGGATGCCTCATTAGTCTATACACACCATGAGTCACAAGCCTGTGATGCTCTTCGTGGTTGATTTTAATGAGGTGTGTGAACGATTTTCCCGCTGTTATTACCGCTGTTTTCCTGATGATTTCTCCGATGATGATCATCATGAGTCCAAAGTTGCTGACCCACCAGTGTTGTTTAAGCCTCGGGAAGAATGTAATTTCGGTTAGGTATTCGAGCAGCGCCAAGAGCATTGCTAAAGCATAGTGCTTGCTAATCAAAAGCGAGCTAAGAGTTATGTTTGATGCTCCATGAATGACCATGGCTAGAATGTATTCAGATGTGTGGAAGAAGATTAGTGAAAGTAGCATCTGAGATAACTGCCTGACACCGGTGTCACTGAAGATCTCTGTCATTTTATTAATCATGAAAAGAATTTGAGTGTTTTTTTCTCCTCTTTAATCAAAGCTTATGACTTTTCGATTCAAAAATTGCCACAAACCTGAGGATGAGGCAGAGGCATAGTGTATCAGTAACGGAAGCCGGTTTTCGATAACAAACCCGAGGGGATCAAAGAACTGCATAACCACCACCTACAAACGAATTACGTAAAAAGAGATAACTCAATCAAACAGAAGATTCTTAAACCTGAAGTTTCCAATCACTCAATTTATGCAACAGCATGAACAAGTTTTGTATTATCTTCTCTGAGTTGAAATGTAAATTTAAAACTACAGTATTCATGGCACTGAATCTGACAAAAACATAAACACTAGTAATTTACACAAACCCCAAACCAACAAAACAATCGCATTGCAAGATTCATACAAGGATCAGGGGTCAAAATACACTCCTCAATAATTAGGTTTGTCTTTCTATAGTCCTGGCACTCGAATTTAAATGGGTAGAGAATTTCTCAAACACTTGGCTTGAAATTGCTTATCTTTAATAGAAAAAGTTTCCCTTTTTTTATTCACGCATTGTATGAGCAAGAATCCTAGCGAAATTAATCAATTACAAGTACACACAATCGAAATCGAGAGCTTCTGGAGAGAAATTTGGTAAAATCAGGGAATTACCCAATTGTGAGGGAGAGCCAAAGAGATGATCGCGTGGACGTTAGAAGTTAAGGAAGAAGAAAGTTTATACCTTTGTCAATCTCATATTTTGAGAGGAGATGATGATGAAGATTGAAGAAGAAGAAGAAACCTCTAGGAGAAAAGAAACAAATACTCTTAATTCACGTGCGAGTCACGTGGGCCATACAGGTTCGATCAGTAAGCTAGAATTTCTCAAAAGCAAAAGAAGTAGAAAAACTATTGCTACATTACATAGAACAAAAAGATGGGTCACATGAGAAAGCAGCTCTTTGTTTTCTTGGTTGGGAACTTGGGACCTCTGTTTGCAAAAATTGAGACTGCCTAAGTTTTGAAGGAGTTGTGTTTTTGCTTTCATATGGACTCTCAAAAAGTGTCTTTAGCTTAAGCTATTGGGATGTTGGGTTCACCAAGATTCACAAACGCCTCTGCACGGGCCATCCGACTCATGGCAGCGTTCCATGACACCAAGTTGTTCAGAAAAGTGTTTATATACCTAGCCCTGTCGTTCTACCCATAGAAAACACACTCATTTAGGCTTTTGAACAAAGAAAAAGAGCACCAAACCATCAAATATTGAAGCTGCTTTTTTACCTTGTAGTCCAGATAATAAGAGTGCTGCAAAATAAGATAAGAAAACAAAAGATATTAGAAGATCCAAAGTTTGTTTTTATTGAGAGTCTGAGGGAAGAGATGAGATAGTTTACCTCCCACACATCCAAGCTGATGATTGGCTGTAACAACAAAAGAGAAGTGATTACAAAGGCAACATCAAGTTTAAGAAACAAATTTCACAAGAGAGTAAATGAGAATCTGCTTACAATATCATCCCACACGAGTGGGTTAATTGCGTTTGAGGTTTTGACCACCTCAAGTCTTCTCTCTTCCCTCTTCACTGAAATTCCAAAAAAAATAGACAAAAAGAGACTCAAGATTTTGCAGTTTCTGAGTCCAGTTTACTAATAACAAGTAAAAAGCTAGTAGAGTTTACTCACAGACGAGCCAGACCCAGCCGGAACCAAACTGACTAAGAGCTGCATTAGTGAATTTTTCTCTAAAATTTGTGAAAGAACCAAAATCCTTGTCAATCTGTTCAAGAACACCCTTTTGAGGCATGTCTCCACCACCAGGTTGCATTGACTCCCAGAAGAAATCATGGTTATAGACCTAAACAACAGCATTATCATCATCAATCCTCCCAACACTAGTGGCTAACTCTTGAGATGTACAAGCAACTTAGTAAGTAAGTACCTGCGCAGCGTTGTTGAACTCGGGCAAAGGATTCCCATTGTTGTATGTCGCCTTGATAAGCTCTTCCATGGTGTATCCATAAAGTCTATCATCTTTCCCTAACTGTTTATTTAGATTGTCCACATAACCTCGATGGTGTTTACCCCAGTGTACTTCTAGTGTTCTTCGACTCATATATGGTTCCAAAGCATCCTATTCACATTTATTTTTAACTCTGATTAAAACCTCAACAAAATCATTTTTTTGGCATATCCCCTAAGATCAAGACCCATCTACTTCGCAAGAGACCTACACATATCAAGATACAATTTTTCCCTACACTCACCAGACAATTCACCCAAATTAAACAACTCTCCATAACTTTGCACTTACAAGTGGATAAGGAGGTGTCTTTAGACCATAGTAAGCTTCAACCTTGAAACCACCTCGAGACCCATTTGTACGTCTTCTCTGCTGGTTACTCTAACAGTAACAAACAAACAAAAACCAAAATTTGAAAGCTTTACTGATTCAAAGAGACAGATTAATGTGAAACAGAACCACAGTAATTTCACTGTATCATAAGTAATCAAAACAAAACAAAAAGGAATCGAACCAGATTGACGAGCTTGGAAGATTTCAAACGTATATTAGAATCTGGAATTGTACAGAAACAGCTTGTCGTTACAACACAAGAACTCATTGTTTGTTCCCTTCCCACTGTCGTCGTTAAAATCTCACTTCTGCTGAAATACAGAGAGCTTCTTCACTCCTGGGCTCGCTTTATTTTAGAGAAAGGCCTTATCAATCCGGTTTAATGCTATAAACTCAAAAGAAAACCTAGAAGATTTTACTCCGGTTAACTACATTAAACCGGTAAATCGAACCGGAAATCAACCTGAAGCCAAAGCAAGGGTTTTAGCAAAAACACTGACGACGATCCTTGGTAACCGAACAACAAAAGGCGAATATTTTCTCTATCAAGCCGTGAGCTAAAAGGCTAAAACCCTCTTCATATAGATTTCAAAGCAACCTTTTTTCAAATTCTGTTTGATTCCACCGTCGATTTGATCATCTTAATCAATGGCCGGAAGGGCTGCGACATCGTCGGCAAAATGGGCGAGAGAGTTTTTGTTCAGAAGGGTCTCGTCGAATCCTCTTGGAGCTACCCGAAACTGTTCTTCGGTTCCTGGAGCTTCCTCTGCACCTAAAGTTCCTCATTTTTCCAAGAAAGTAAGTAGCTTTTATCGATTTTATGATCCATTAGTCACATTAGCGGTTTGCTCGAATCATATTAGAATCTTATTCTCTTGGGAATTTCGTTAAGGTGAAGCTAAATACAAAGAGTTTCAATTCTTGTTCTGATCTGAAAGTAGCACTTTATCTTGTGTAGTCGAGTTAGATCATTGATGCTATTTCAGTTTACAAGAGCATAAGTGTTTGACTCTGAAATTTTTTAGGGAAGGATATTGACAGGGGCTACCATTGGTCTAGCCATAGCTGGAGGAGCCTATGTGAGTACTGCAGATGAGGCAACCTTCTGGTACTTGCTTAAATAAGTGCCCTGAAACATTAAATATCTTTTGTCTTTTGTTCTCTGTGTAACTGTGTTAGTTAACATTGCTAAGATAATCACTTTGTTTTTACCTTTTGCTAAATTTGTGTGTTGGACAGTGGTTGGCTATTCAACGCAACAAAGGTTGTAAATCCTTTCTTTGCTCTTCTGGATGCTGAGTTTGCGCATAAGCTGGCTGTTTCGGCTGCTGCTCGCGGGTGGGTACCTAGAGAAAAGAGGCCTGATCCAGCAATCTTGGGACTTGAAGTTTGGGGAAGGAAATTCTCAAACCCAATTGGGCTTGCTGCTGGATTTGACAAAAACGCTGAAGCCACCGAGGGATTGCTAGGACTTGGATTTGGTTTTGTTGAGGTAGGGTCTGTGACTCCTGTTCCACAAGAAGGCAACCCAAAACCGCGCATCTTCAGATTAAGCCAAGATGGGTGAGAATCTCTAATCCGCTTTTGTTTACATCAGTAATATATTATCTTTAATGATCGAAAAAGCAAGAGTTTCAACTAAAAGACTTCTATTTTCTCCCCCCTTCCAGAGCAATTATCAATAGGTGTGGATTTAACAGTGAAGGAATTGTTGTTGTTGCAAAGCGGTTGGGTGCTCAACATGGTAAAAGAATGTTGGCGGAAACATCAGGCACTTCGGCATCTCCAGGCGATGAAGTAAAACCAGGGGGCAAATCTGGACCTGGTATTCTTGGTGTTAACCTTGGAAAGAACAAGACGAGTGAGGATGCTGCTGCTGACTATGTCCAAGGAGTTCATAACTTATCCCAGTATGCTGATTACTTGGTACAAACTTCTTATCGCAATATATCAAGTATTCCTTTAATCTATTCTACCATAAAAAGTCTTTGTTCCTAAATTTCCATTTCTCTTCAGGTGATCAATGTTTCATCACCCAACACTGCAGGGCTGCGCATGCTTCAAGGAAGAAAACAGTTGAAGGACCTTGTTAAGAAGGTTCAAGCTGCTCGGGATGAGATGCAATGGGGTGATGAAGGTCCTCCTCCTCTTCTTGTAAAGATTGCTCCTGATCTGTCTAGAGGAGAGCTCGAAGATATTGCAGCTGTACGTTGTACTAAAAACTAAAACACATTCTATAGTTTCTACGTAAATGGCTCTTACGACATTGTATTGATTTGTGCAGGTGGCTCTTGCTCTCCACTTGGATGGGCTGGTAAGTTACTCATTTTACATGAACCAACTTCTGTTTAATCAGTGTCAATTGATGAAGCGTCCAATCTGTTTAACTTAATGTAGCAAAAGTGACCAAAGTTTTTTTCGATTTAAGTCACTGTGTGCTGCAAATCAGAATGTGTTTTTGATTAAGTTGATCCTATCTTTGTTTCTCCTGTAGATCATATCAAATACAACAGTTTCAAGACCAGATCCTGTAACCAACAACCCTGTGGCAACAGAAGCAGGTGGTTTGAGTGGGAAACCTCTCTTTCCTCTCTCCACCAACATGTTGAGAGAGATGTACACTTTGACACGAGTAAGTTTTTAGCCTAAATTTGATGATCCACTAATCGACTGAGGAATCAAAATCATCGCTGATTTGCGTTTTTGGATTATTTCATGGTCACTTCCTTAGGGAAAGATCCCATTGATAGGCTGTGGCGGAGTTAGTAGGTAAACCTCTTTGAACATATCTCAGATGCTCTAGTTATGGAGAACAAAAGAAATTATTTAAGATGACTTTTTGGGTTTTCAGTGGTGAAGATGCGTACAAGAAAATAAGAGCCGGGGCTACTCTTGTTCAGCTGTACACGGGATTTGCTTATGGAGGACCTGCCCTCATCCCACAAATAAAGGTATTCCTTTCCCATAAACACATAGAGAAATTCGAAAAGCCACTTCTTTAATTTTAATGCTCTTATTAGAACAAATTCTTAAAGCTTTTGGTGTCAAAAACATCCCTCTCTGTTGTAAGCTTAACCAATCTGCATATTGAGGTCAGATTGATACTAATATTCATGTCTTTATGTTGCAATAGGAGGAACTAGTGAGTTGCTTAGAGAGGGATGGCTTCAAGTCAATCCATGAAGCAATTGGTGCTGACCACAGATGATAAACTCAAAAGAGCAATACGCAGAGGAGGGTTTCCTTTTCGTTAAAGGACAAAACAAAGTTGTATTTAGTTTCATTGATTCAGTTGTTTCTTCTTCCCAAGCAATAACATCATGGCTTTTGTCTCTTTTCTCCTTTTATGAGAAATAACTAGTAGCCCTTTTTTTTCTCAATCCACTACTGTTTTCTCAAAATTACAGTACAGGTTCTTCTAGCAGATAAAACACAAACCGATTGAGATCATAAAATTAAATCATAGCATAATTGATTGGGCAAAAACATTAGCAACCTCAAGATAGGTGTCAATAGTAAAAGCACTAGAGAAGAAGAATTTTCATGACGTGGTTGCAGCTGATAATTGTTTAACTTTGGCCTGCAACACCATCCCAGCTTCATCTGCCACGCTTTTCTTTTTCGCTGCGACCTACATTGAATGAACATTCTTGAAGTTAACAACTAAAATCTTGGGTAAGCTATGGATATTAATATATATGTTCTCAAATAAATAGAAGAGTATTGAAACAATTTGGCAGTGATGCAAGATTTATGTCACCAATATTGAAACAAATGGAAACGGGAGATCATAGCATGATACTGCTTTATACAGCTGAACGATACTCAGAACTAGTAACAAATATTGGAAAGGAGAATTAAAGGCGGAGTTAAGTGGAGACTCTACTTAGTGTATATTATGTATGCATGTATGGCTTGAAGGGGTGCTTGACAATGTGCAGGGAAGGGCCAACTAAATGGCTTCTTTATTATGTTAACCGCATTCCTTAGCAGCCATAAAACTTATAACCCTCAACTTACTGTCTACAATGGATCAGTCACTGAAAGATGCAGATACAAGACTAACCCCTAGTAATAGAATCAGACTACATTCATTTTAAACTCTGAATTACTCAGTTCACAGTTTTGTAAAGGTTAATGAGAACTGTGTTATTCTTCTGTAAAAGGGCAGTCCTAACTTTTAAGGCATACTCTATAAGCCCGATGAAAGAAAAGTGTAGCCTTATTCTGTCTATTTTCACCTCAGGATCAATCTAAACACCAAATCAGGCATTTGGAAGTTGCCAAGAGAGTGAAATAATCCTAATTCGAATACACATATAATTACCTCAAAAAGTTGGTCAAAGTTGGATTTGAGCAAGTTGATCTTTCTCTGACAGTAGTCTTTTCCATCATCCATAGTTTTCTACACAAAATGTAAAAAAACACTTGAGCTACAAACAGGGACGAGCCAAACATAACCAAGTCATAACAATCAAATTCTTCTTATTGATGTTTGTTACCTCAATGAAGTAACCAGTGCCAATATCAACTAGAACCTTATCAGCTTCATCAAGTGTCCCAGGCACGTAGAGAGAAGCAGTGAGTGGTACAAGCATCTTCTTACCTAAAGTTTCAATTTTTCTAACTTTTATATTTCAAATCATCCATTTGCTGAAAGAGATCAAACTGAAGAAATAAATGCGAAATAAAACCTTGAGGTCGAAGAGATAGATCGTTGAGAGCTGCGGCGGCGGCATCAAGACGGACGGTGGCTGTACGGATGTTGTTTAGACTGTCCTGAAGGAGATTCACTTCAAGATCCGCTTGTTCCTTCAAAGCTTTCAGCTGATCGATTCCCATCTTCTCCATCTCTCCTCTCGATGATGACGACGCCATTCTCTCTCTCCTCTCTCACACAGACACACACACAGTCGCGTCTTCGAGTCTGCGAATCGCTTTTTTGTCAAAAGCTTGGAGACGAAGTGTGTGTGTGGCCCGTTAGGTGGGTGGAGTCAGCGTCAGAGACGAAGTCTCAAGGCCCATTTGAGCCCGTTTCTAACATTTTCGAGGCCTTCAATGATTAAAAAAAACAGGATTATATGTGTTCTATTTTGATTCAAATAAAAGACTTTCAATTCGTGAAAAAAATATCATACATATTATCACTAATTAAAATTTAATAAAATTTGACTGATAACATGATAGTTTCTATTAAAAATATGGTGGAAGACATATAAATTTTTTTCTATACACAAAAAATATAATATCTAGGCTTCTACTGGTAACCATTAGAGGAAGAAAAGGAAAAAGAACAAAAAGAACAATACGGAACGGAATAAACAAATTTTGAGAAATGAAAGGAAAACATGCAGAGAAGAACAAAATAATAAATGGTAACCAAACAATAACACTATCTTTTATAATATATTTGATTAAATAAATCAACTTTAATAATAATACTAGATATAATTTATATATAATGAATTTGACACTAATTTTAAAATATATTTTTGAATGAATTTAAATATTTAATGTTAAAAATTAATAATTTATATTAACCTATTATAGATTATAGTAATTTTTTATTTGTTATTTATGATATAAATATCTCTTAAATATGTTTTACTATCCATACAAATTTTAAACAATGTATAGTAAGATTTTTTAACATGAAATTCATATCAAAAATATTTTTTAATGTCAATACATGATAAAAATATGAAAAATATTATATTATGAGATTAAAATATTATTAATAAATAATTTTTTATTTATTTTAAAATAAAAACGAATTTTAATATTTGTTCTTTTTTTGTTCCATTTGTTCCTCATCAATTTTGGGGAGGAACATTTTTGTTCTATTGTTCCTCATTTTGTGAGGAATGTAGAGGAATGATGTGGAAAAATGATTTCTTGTAAATGGTAAAAAAATTGAGGAATGAAGAGGAATGTCACATTCCTTCTCATTTTTTCCTAAATCATGGTTACCAATAGAGGCCCTAGTTTGGAACAAGGCAATAATAAGCAATGAATTTACCAAAAACTTTTTTTGTACAAATTTGAGAAGTAGTACATTTAACACGGCAGAGAGCAGGTAGAGTGAGGTGAATGAGAGGCTATTTTACTGTACACAAGTGTCGGTCCAAAATGCAATATATATATATGTATATGTTATATGAAATATTTTTGTAAATAATACATTACTCGTATATGAAATTTAAATGCCAGCCTATAAAAAAATGTAATTATTTCAGTAGAAGAAAGAATGGGACCATATCAATTATTGGGGTTGGGGTCATTTAGATGATTCGACAATAAAAAGGTACGGATGTTTTTCTTTTAAATACGAAATTGATCACTTATGATCCCCCACCCCCCATAATTATTTGCATTTGTATTATATAGCTAAGTGTTTCATTACTACTAGTACTACTAATTATACTAATTAAGAAAGAAATAACACCAACTTTTTGTTGATATCTTTCCATTAATAGAATCTTATTTGTTTGATTGCTTAGTGCGACCTATAAAAAATTAGTCTAAAGAAACCTATCTAATCACTTTGACATTTTGCCATCATATATAATTCGTATTAAAATAAATTCAATAACATTCATTTACTCAGCAGATATAGCTAAGATCGAGGATGTGTAATAAGTAATTATCTACCGGATTACTCATCATTATTTTTGCAGGGCATAAAAATATACACTATTAATGGGGATTATCTTATTTATCTTTTCAGTAATCCAAGATTTACAAATATAAACAGTGATTTTTAAACATATGGTTTTTTAAACAGTGAATTAATCTTTCTCTGACTAAACGTGACAAACCAAACTTTCCAAAAGCACAAGTTCAGTGATTCATATAATCTGAACCAAAAAGGCAACCCAATTGAAGAATTCAGACACAACTGGTTTTGTCTTTTTTAATTTTCTTTTTCTTTTTTACTAATCCTTTGTTCTCGCATTTAAGACGTCAAATCCCAAAAGAAAATACAATGTATATCCTAGAAGAAGTAAAAATAGATAACAGTAATGTTACAAATTCATCATCCTCCACTTCGATTTCAACGAAACAATCACACATTCACAGTCACATAATAAATGCAGAGGAAGAAGAAGAAGGTACAATATCATGTAGTCGAAACGTTTATTGAAAATAACACTGTGGTTAACAGCTTGCGCCAAATGCTTCACCACAATTGTTGTAACAACATATCATCATCATTACACAAAATTAGCACCAACACATAATAATATATCTGGAATTTTAACGACGGCTCTGTTTCGCCGGAAAAACAAAACCAGACACCCAAAAAGGAGAACAAGAGAAACCTCCGCGGTTTCTAAAATCTTCCCTTTTTTCTAAAAATTAAATAAAAAAGTAATCTTCCTCCCAAAAAATAAACCTCCACATTCTTAAACCCTAGTTTAACCCTAATCCCAAAAAACAATACTTAAGAGCTAACGATACTCTCAAATCACTTGAAGAAGATTCTGAAATCAAATCAATCTCTAAAACGAACACTAATAAAACACACACACACACACCACAATAAAGGAGAAGCCTCGAACAAATACGATGATAAAATATTATATATATACGAAATTAGCCCTTGGAAACCTACTAAAAAGGGCTGGTTTTGCTTTGATCAATCAAAAACACACCATTAACGTGGATCATCCTCTCTTCGACCCGACCCGGGAGATCCACCGGATAAAGAAGCAAGCAAATTAAGATGACCCGGAAGATAATTGCCAACTCTAGCAGCTGAAGCTTCACCCATTGCAGCTTGCTGTTGTTGCTGCTGATGAACAAACAAAGGTTGCTGATGATGATGATGTTGTTGTTGTAAAAACATCTCTTGTGGAACTCCTCCTGTAAAGCTCCAAACTTGTCCAAAATCTGGCCTCGCCGGAACAGCCCAAAACCCACCTGGTGCTGTCGTAAAGGTCTCATCTTTATTATTACCACCGGAACCGTTGTTGTTACTATTGCTGCTGCTGTTATTATGATGACTATCCTCGTCAGCTCTCACACGTTTCCCAAGTATAAACGGTGAAGAAGAACCAAGTAGAGTAGTGGTGGGTTTATGATCAAGAGAGGAAGATAAAGAAGTTGAATTGGCTCCACGGATTGAGACAGAAGCAGTAGAGAAACTCGCTGGAGTTGTACCAGTTCCTGTCGCAGCTATAATAGAAGGCTCAGCTTGACGAAGCAACCACTCAATAGTTTGACCATCTGATTTGTGACCAAGCTCCCTCGTAAGCTGGAAAACACGAGCTGCGCATATAATAGGCATACGAATCCTCCTCCCTCTTCCATCCACTTTGCTGTGCCGATCTTTCGCCGGTGGCTTCTTCACAACGACTGGAGATTGTTGCTGTTGTTGTTCGATTAGAGCTGATCCGTTAGATGAGATCATAACTCCAACATCGTTGTTGTTGTTGTTAGACATGGTTAATTCTTCTTCGATCTGTGGTTTGGTTTTGTGTGTGTGTTCTCTTCTCACTTGGCTTATTACAGTGAGAGAGAAGGAGAAGCAAATGATTGAGGAGGAGAAGGAAGAGGAAGGGAGCTGGTGGAGACAGGAAGGAGAAGCACATGGGTGTGGTGGGTCCTTTTTTCACAGCTCACCATCTCTTACTTTTTTTTTTTAATTTAAAAGTTTTGTCCCGACGCGGTGGAGATCACGCGCGTTATACGTACTCCGGTGAAGAGGGAGTCGCGTAGGGACCACGCTCCGGCAGGAGAATTTATCACTGGTGTTTGTGTGGGTCATCGTCGTCCTCCGCTCCGGTTGCTGCAGCTGCTACGTGCATTTAATTCGTTTTAGATACCTTTTGTTTATCCATTGCCACATCATTTATTTACCATTTTACCTCATTTTGCTAATCTATATTAACATTTTTAAAGACACTTATGAAAAAACCCTCACTTACCTCACTTATTTACAAGGTCCTGCCATTGGCTTTAAATAATTATTCTCTAATATTTCTAAAATTTGTTTCCACGATTATTCAACAAATTTAACTTATAGGATCTCTAAAAATTAGCTGATTTGCGAGCTGAATATTCTGAGATTTTCGAAATGATTTTGCGGTATTAATAACCATATTCATGATGATTTTTGCACTAAAAACGGAAACCATATTTATGATGAACATATTATTTTATTTGAAAGGTTCCCCCAAATCTCTCTCTAAATACAAAATCAACAATATAAACTAATCGATTGCATTAAATCAAACAAATTATATCTATTTATATTAACATTTTTGCAGCAACTTATGAAATAAATCATGGGGTTTAAACTTATTTACAAGCTTTGCCACTGCTTTAAATACAAAATCTTATAAAATCAGAAATTATAATTTTCTAAAACAATATTAATTGATCGAAAGTTATATATTCGATCATAATTGTTAGTTGTTACGCTTATTTAGCTGCTTTATTCAAGCACATTCTTAAAAACTTATTTCCAAAATCTTTCAATTTGTTTATATTGTTTTAATATATAATCGTCTCATTTAATTGTGTTAGTATGTGATTAGCGGCATAATTGGAACAAATAACAAAATTTCCTTTACTTTAGAGTTTAGACTAACATTGAAAAGCATATTTTTCACTCATAGCTTTCAATTATTTAATGATTTCTATAATTTTAATTTTTCAGAACAAATTCTCTTTGCTCACCGAAGATTCGATTACCTAATCATCCGTTTCTAAAAATCATTATAAAAGATAGTATTCTTGACCTTGTCATAACAAATTGAATTAAATTTTGACGATTATATGACTCGACGAGATAAAAGACATGATGGATTGTAATATGCTTATAAAAAATTATACGATGGGACAAGTTTGAATTGATAATATTATAAAGTTAAAATCTCACTAATTTCATATGTCAAAACGGATAAAATATTCATACGTTAATATGTGAATACTATAAAATAAGAATTAGAAAAAACGTTTGCCCCGCGGTGTACCGCGGGTTAAAATCTAGTTTAAATTAAAACAAACCAAGTCATTTTACTAACTAATTTTAAGCTAATGTGAACATTGCTTTTGTACTTACGTGAAAGTTAATCTCTAATTAAAAAGTTAGCTGTTTCCATATAAACAGTCGAAAAGATTGAAATCAGTGAGGTAATTGATTGGTAAGTAGACTTTGACATCAAAACTTATTTTAAGTTATATAATTTATTTATTTTGTTGTTCTTTTTATATATATTTATATTTTGGCAATCACTTATATTTCTGCCACCGGTTTGAATCTTAATCTCTGCAGTATCACGTGTTTTACGTGAAATGGCAAAAAAATCGAAAACTTTATTTAATTTTTTCAAAATTCCTTTGTCGACGACGACACCAAGATTTTTTTTTTAAAAAGTTACATATCCATATATATTTTTTAATGCAATTAGTTGAGTTAGCTCGATACATATATACCATATGTAACAACAACACATATATTCATCATGTGGAAAACGTATGAACTTTTATAATTAATAAAAGGGGGAATTTCAAAAATACCCCTTTTCATATACCTCTTTTTAAAAATATCTCTTTTTCAAACTTTATCAAAAAACTCACTAAAAATGTTGAAATTTATCCAAATATGTGTAATCTTATTAATTTATACACAAATTACTTTTATATGTGTATAAAACTTTATATACCTTTCATAAATAGCGTAAAAATAAATTATAAAAACCTTATAAAAACCTTATAAAAACCTTTAAAAACCTTTTTAAAAACCTTATAAAACTTATAAAAACGATTTAAAACTATTTAAAACATTTTAAAATATTTGTATCGAATCTCCTAGTAGTAGTTATTATATAGAAGTACCTTATAAACTATATAAAAATTTATAATTTTTTATATTTAAAAAGGGGTGTTTTTGAAAATTGACAGATAAAAGGGGTATTTTAAAAAAAGGGTACACCAAAAGGGGTATTTCTCAAAAATTCTCTTAATAAAATGTTAGCATGTTTCTAGTAAACTTTGGAGTAAGGCTTCGAATGGAGAAAGCGTATCAAGCAGTGCAGATCAAGCGGTTCAAGCAGATCAAGCAGAACAAAAGCGGATCAAGCAGATTTGGCAGAACAAATGCAGATCTAATAGTTTGAACATTAAAAAAACAAATTAAATATATATCAATTATAAAAAATATTGACTGTATAGATTTTCTTTTATATTTGAAAATCATAATAATGATAAACTGAAATTGTTTTATTTAAAATTTCATATTGTAAATTTTTAAACATGTAATGTAATAAAATCAAAAATATTTATATCATATAATAAAATTATGTTATAACATATGTGGTGTACACTAATCATAAAAATAAAATTAATAAGTAAAATTTTTATGGTGCATTAAATTAATAAACTATGATAAACAAATAATAAAGAAACATTTATCAGAAAACTTTGAATAATGTAGTCAAAATAATATTTAAACAACTAATTATAAGAAAACTTAGAATAATATGTGATTTAAATATTATATTAATTTTATGAACTTAAGTTATTTTATTTAATTTTTTAATAAATAATTTTAAAGTGATATATTAAAATATTTATGTATTTTATTATTACAGCAGTATTTAAGTATTTTAAATACTGAATAAGAAAGGCAGTTCAGATTTGATACGCTTCAAAAATAAAGTGTTTCACTATTACATGCAGAACATACTTTTTCCTGTGTATATTTGATCTGCCAGCCGTCCATCTGTAAATTATTATTTTTTTCTAGAAAATTTTATTTAACTGTGAATGGAGAAAAAAAAAGCAGTTCTCCTGCTCTGTATATTATCTGCTCTTTATCTGTGAGTGATTTGTCCAATTGGCAGATACGCAAGATTTTTTGGTATGTCGCTCGTCTCATCAAATATCTTTTTCTTTTTCTAATATCGTTACAATAATTTAATTATGCCTTAATTGATGCACAACGAACGCTAATATTTGGTTTTAATAATGAGTTTTTCGTACTTTTGTACCTTAATTAAAATTGGATTTTTTCTTATTGTTAAATTAGCCCATTCTTGTGAGCCAGCCAAATGCAATCATGAGCGATGTGGCCTCATGTCGGCAGGGTGTTGTACCTTAAAACACTTGGAAACCCAAATTCTACAAAATATAATAATAGAGAATTTATAAATCATGTGATTAATATACACGGTTAACAATAGTAAGTAACTAATATTGGATAAGGATGATAACAATAGTTTGTTAGATATTGATTTTGTTGTAACAATTTTTTATTGGGAGAATTTCAAAAATACCCCTTTTCTAATAACACTTTTTAAAAATACCGCTCTTTCTAATTTTATCAAAAAATCACTATAAAATTTGAAATTTATCAAAAAAATATGTAGAAGCTTATATTTATAGACACAAATTATCTTTATATGTGTGTAAATTTATAAATATATATTTCATAAATACATTTTAAAACCTTTTAAAAACCATTTAAAAAACTTATAAAAACTTTGTAAAACTTTTAAAAACCTTATAAAAACCTTATAAAACCTTACAAATGCCTTTTATAACCTTTTAAACTCTTATAAATACTTGGATTTAGTCACGCAGTAGTAAAGATGATCTTGATGTACCTTATCAAACATATAAAAGTTTATAATTTTTCATATTTGAAAAGGGGTATTTTTGAAAATGGATATAAAAGAAGGGTATTTTTAAAAAGGAGTAAACCAAAGGGGTATTTTTCAAAAATTCTCTTCTTTATTTGCTGTCTTTTGGTATTTTTATAAATAGATTTGAAGTTAAATTAGGCGTATTTCAAAATAAAATTAAAAGTTAAATTAGGGATTTTCTATAAGATGTTTTACGTTAAAAATCTAACACAACTAGATATTGAAAACCATATCTCTTCTAATGGATAAGCTCTTCACAACGACTGGAGATTGTTGTTGTTCGATAAGAGCTGATCCGTTAAATGGGATCCGTAAAAAATAATTACTTTAGTCCAAATGGTTGTGATTTATATTACTTTTACCATTATAAATTTGATAAATTTTGTTTAGATACGGTCATGGATAGAGAGTTGTGTAAGACCACCCACAACCATGGGTTATTAAGGGAGCCTTAAAGATTTAATTGATGAACTTTAATTCATTAATGGTTGATATTAGAGAAAACCGTCTCACCATTAGGAGGTGTTTGGTGGCTCAAGAGGCGGTGTTCCGAGTGGTTGGAGTGTAAAATAAAAAAAAAAAAGAGATTTTGCTGAATAATTTTCTTTTCTCTTCTCTGAATTATTAATCAACATATGGTTTAATTGATGTATTTATTTTCTTTTATGGTTTTCATAATTATATTTGCTTCTATGTCAGTTTGTTTAAAAGTCATGTTTATTTAAAACTTTATAAAATGAAATAATTTTATATTTTATTTTTACAAAAAAAAATAAAAAAAATAAAAATTAAAGAACCATTGGAGGACTACAAATTTAAAAACCCCAACATCATCATTTATTTTCAAATTTTACAAAATTAATACTAAAAAATAAAAATATTACCAAGAGCCCAAAATGGGATTCTCTTGTTGTGGTTGCTCTAAGGTTTTAATTTGAAAACGAATCCGGTCAGTACAAGCTTTCTTCTCATTAACAAGTTCTTAAAATCCTAAATTCCAAATATGTTGATGAAGCTCATCGACTAAAACTATAAGCAGCATCATCAACATCATCATCACCATCATCAATATTACTATACTTCCCCCAGTATCTATGTTCCTTCCACACTCTCCCCATATCCTCAATCGGAACTCCTTTTGTCTCCGGTAACAAGAAGTAAATGAAAATGGTCATGATCAAGACCATGAAGGCGAAGAAGTAGAACAGACCAAACTTCATGTGGCAAAGCATCGTCAAGAAGAATTGTCCAATTAAGAACGTGAAGAACATGTTCACCGAAACGTTTAACGATTGTCCTGCCGATCTAATTTCCAATGGACATATCTCACTCGGCACTAACCATCCCAACGGTCCCCATGACCATGCAAAACCGGCCACGTAGAGGCAGACCAATGCCAAGATTATATCCGCATCAACCAGTGATAACGTTCCTTCCCCTTTTACTCCAAATCTCCATCCGATCATTGAACCAACCGCGATCTGAAACCGAATAAAGACAAATCATTGTTACTTAATATGTTTTATTTGAAAGCAGAGCAGGAGTATGGTGCTCTGTTTTGGAAAACAGAGCAATTTCAATGGATTAGTACTTGTAACGCACCTGAGTCAAGATCATCTGGATACCACCTCCAAAAAACAAAGCTCTGCGTCCGAATTTGTCTACGGAGTAGATGGAGACAAGGGTGGCGAGGACATTGACGAGTCCGGTGATGACCGCGGATATGAGAGAGGCGTCATTTCCAAAACCGATGGTCCTAAACAGAACAGGTGCATAGAACATAATGACGTTGATCCCTGTTAGCTGTTGGAAGAATGGGATGAACGTACAAAAAATTAGCTGCGGTCGATAACGAGCTTGCGCTATCTTCGTCCATGGATGCTTAACTTTCTTTGCGGCCTCACTCGCGTTGCAAAGATCATTAAACTCATGCTCGACCTCCATGGTTCCTCTGATCTTCTGTAGCATCTCCTTAGACTTTTCTTTATTCCCACGTTCAAGAATTGAGTTTGGCGTCTCTGGCAAGAAAAAGCATCCGACAAGCATCATAACGGGCGGAACACCAGCTAAACCTAGAGATACTCTCCATCCGATCCCGTTCTTGAGCTTTGGGGTTACGTAGTTGACAAGGTTCGCCGCTAAGATCCCGATCGTGATCGCTAATTGGAAACCAATGTTTAGAGCTCCTCTGATCTTAGCAGGAGCCATCTCAGAGAGGTAAAGAGGAACAGATTGGTTAGCGAATCCGACACCTACACCAAGAAACAACCTCCCGATGATCAACATCTCGAGGCTGATAGCGAAACCATTGAGAAGAGCTCCAAAGAGAAAAGCGAGACTCCCGATGATCATGGACACCCTCCGGCCAAAAAGCCTTGTAATCGTTGAAGCGAGGAAAGAAGCGAATAGAGCAGCGAGGTAGAGAGAGGAGGTGAAGAGAGTTAGAAGCTCATTGTCGTATCTACAATACTCTGTTTCACGCCCTGTTTCCTTTTGCATTCCACGAAGCACGTCAGGGAAGAATCTCTTTAGAAACTCATCCATTGATGTCACACCTCCTGGATAAAAAATTGACAAGAATCAGAAAGAATGATAGAGGAGAAAACTTGTTTACTTGATAGGGAAGAAACCAAACCTGAGATACCAATGTCGTAACCGAAGAGGAGACCACCCATTGCAGCTACAATGCAGGTAACCACAACAAATGCGGTTACACCGCCTTGATCGTGGTCTCTTCCATGGCCACTCTCGTCCATAAAAACTCCTCCTGCCATGGATTTAAGACGATGAAGCCAAAAACCACAGCTTTGTTTTCCGGCTTTAGATGATGATGATGATGATTGGAGCGTTCAAGATCTCAATTAATTCTCGTCGTAATGAAAACAAAGTGATAACGAGGAAGAAGAACACGATGAAGAAGGAGATTGTTTCTCGCTTCTTGATCGTTCTTGCTTTCCTCTGCAAAAGTTATTACAACTTTTTTTCAATCCTGGCTGAGTTTTTATAAAGAGATATATCAGGGATCTTATGAACACTCTGTCCTAAATCCATATTTTCTATTTACAGTCAATGCGTGATCAGAAATTACGAAGATCATGTGCTGGACTTTTTTTTCTTTGCTTTTGCGGCGAATAATCTTAAAATAGTTTTTTTCTTTTGTAACTCTGTCTTTTAACCGATCAGATATAATTATGATATAACAATACATTGAGCTGACCTGGTCACATCTCAAAATGCATTTGAGAAAATTTGCGTGCCAACGGTTTCCTAGGTAATAGCCAAAACATGTTAACCTTAATCTTTTCACAAACATATAGTTTAATTTAGAACAACACATGGAAAATGTATGACACTAATGATGAATAAATATTATAACCAAAGACCATTGTGCTTCAGACAAGGTTCTGTGACGACCACACAACACAGACAACAAAAGAGGGCATTGGCTAATCAAAATATATGTAATAATAAAAGTTTCATTAATTCGTCCGCTGAAAGAAAGAGTACGTAGATGTATTGAGGATTAGATTAATCACTCTTAGGGGCATGATCATTTTGAAGATTAGGCTGAGCAAGCTGGAGATGGTAATTAGGATCAATCTGAGAAGTAAGTGTAGCAAGCTGAAGAAGACTGTCTGGTTGTCGTTGTTGTTGTTGTTGCTGATGATCGTTGTTATAGTACTGCAGCTGCTCTAGAAACTGTTGATACTCCGTTGGTTTCGTCTCTATCCCAGCTTGCTGAAGCTCCATCGCTGCACGATGTTCATGTAGCTGCAATAAACAAGCTTTAGTACATATGTATACAGAAAAAAAAATCATTCAAACGATTAAACATATCTAGTAGCCAAACTTACCCAACGGTACATGTTATTGTTATCTTCCTCTAGCATTTTCCTCTGTTCGTATATATAGACATGGTAATAATGATCATTAAACCCGTGGTGTAATAAGACTATAATTAGAGTTAAACGAGAGTGATTATATAGAGAGTGACCTTTCTGCTTAGATTATCCAGCTGTTGCTGCATCAACTCATTCTTCATTATGTTAAAAGCAGAGATAAAAACAAAAGTGTAATCAATATAGTTTTAAAAGGACATGTATTGATATGAACATATATTGCATTTACCTTACGCTCACGGACTTTGAGGACGGAATGTTCAAGCTGTTGCTCGAGCAAGTCAAGCTCATGAGGAGGAATGGAGGCTAAGTCATGTCCATGATATGGACGCAGACGGTGCTCAAGGTTACATGTCTCTCTTCTTAGTACTTCTATCTCATGGCACAGTTGATCCTACACACACAAGTTAACACACATTAATGTTATTATACATGTTCTTAGTTTTCAATCGGTAATTCACAACGAAACAAGTATGCAAAAATATACATGTACCTGGTCGTCCTGATGATCAGGAAGTCGTAATCCGTTCGTCTGCAAGTATCGGTCAATGAGTTGAGGCATCCTGTTCAATATAAATTATGATCAAATTAGATCTTTAATGTTACATAACGTCAAGACTTCAATAATCAGTGGAGGAACACAAAGACTCGAATATGTAACAAATGTGTTCTGAAAAGTAGAACAATATAAAATGTGATCCATATATATTTTAAATATTTTGGCCACACAAAAATTAGGTTAGGAAAAAGCAAAACTACTAGCAAGGGATATATATAGTTGAATAAACGTGTGTTCTGGTTCATGACTTAGATCTAATTATCATACCTTTATAATTGTATTTAAAACAGAAATATTAACATAATTACTTTATTATATGTTATGTTGTATACACATTATAATGATCTTATTAAGAAGAAGCTTGATGATGATAAAATGTCAAATCATTGCAGAAAGATCTATATGTATTTGGCAGGTGTTAATAGAAAAACAAAGGATTTGACCCATAAGTAATAAATACGATAAGAAACATGCATGTTACACCACAGATACAAAATAAATACTGGAAAGAACAAAAATATTGGATCAAAGATTTTTAACGTCTGGGCCAAAATTAAAAATCTTAAAAACAGACGACTCATGACACCTCCCTGCTACTTCAGAAACTAATGATGAAAACTGTCTGTTCACAAGAGCACGAGGAGCCAAATATCTGAACTCATTTCATCATTAATTAGATGAATACATATATTCACATGTGTGTATGTATAGATCTCTGAAACCCTAGTTTTGAGAAAGAAGAAGAAGAAGAAGTTAATTTGATGATACCGTACGTACCTGTTGGCTTCAGAGCAGAACTCGGAGAGCTTTCCAGTGGCGGAGAAGACAATGAGACCGATGTGAGCATCACAGAGAATAGAGAGCTCACGAGTCTTCTTGATAAGACCAGTTCTTCTCTTGGAGAAGGTCACTTGCCTCGCCGTCTGATTCTCAATCTTCTTTATCTCTATCTTCCCTCTTCCCATCTGATCTCTCTTCTTCCTCTTATTACTCCCTCCCTCCTCTTCCTCCTGATTCCAAAAATGTATATATGAAAGCAAGTTTAAAAAGAAACCCTAATCATCAACAAAAGCCACAGAAAAAGAAAAAAACAAGAATCTGATGAAACCCTAGCTAGAATTAGTTAATTACAGGTTTCATTTCAAGGAAGACGGTGCTTGATTCTTGAATCTTCATGTGTGAATTAGAGAGGAGATATAGAGAGAAAAAAAGAGTGTGTGTGGAAGAGCTAGTGAGAAATATATATATATAGAGAGAGAGAGAGATCAGAGAGGGTTATATATAAAGGGAGAAATATTATAAGAGAGTACGTCTTTATAAAGTATATTTTGTTGGAGCTGTGTTCTTGGGGATCTGGAAATGGAGATCAGTAGTAGATTTAAGGTTTGATGCCACACAAACAAAAAGGAGAGAGATACAATTCTATGTGTGTGGCGTGTAGTCTCAGCTCACCATTTTCTATTTTCATTCTATTCCGCTTAATTACAATATATAGTATATATAGTGTTTATTTTTCTTCTTCTGTAAATCAGATCAAAGCAAAAATGGCTTACCTATTTTTTAAATATCAATTTTTTTGTTAGGGTTTTAAATGTCACTACGTTATGCGGTAATAATAATCTTATCTTAGTCAATTTTCACAATTAACCTAACATATATATATAGAGTAGACTATTATATATGGTTCTTTGTTTTATTTTTTATATTATAATGAATTGTAAGTTTTTTTTAGTTCTTGAAATATTATTTAAGCCTTTCTGCGTTTTTTTTATCTTTTGAGATTATTTTAAATATTAACTAACTCGTTTATAAGTTTCTGTAAAGTAACAAAGATTAATTAACTATATGTTTCCTTATATATAAAAAAGTAACTTAACTATGTATACGTAATACGTCTATATACCCGACATTTAAACTACATAGATAAATAAAGTTTAAGGTACCAAAAGATAAAATAAATAACATAAAATGTCGAATTGTAATTAATAATCACTAATTAGACAAGACATGTAATATAATGGCAGTGTTTGGTAATTTCTTAAGCAGAGAAGATCCTTTCTAGTAAAATCTCCAACCACTTGTAATTTCCTTTGATCTGTCTGCCATGCATGACGCAACTCGAAGAAAAACCAAAAATGGAAACTTAATGAAATAATGTAACAAGGAAAACAAAGTTACCACTAAAGGAAAAAGGCAAAAAAGAGAGAGAGAGTAGCCAAATGGGAAAAGACAAAGTGTAACAATACTTGAAAGTGATTTTTCTTTATTTTTCTTACCCACCCCTCCTCGATCGATCTGCAGCCTCATGATATATATATGCATATAGATAGTTTTAAAAAGCCATCTTTGAATTTTTAAACATCAATTTAATTACGTGTATGCCTAGGTAGATAAATTATTTGCTATAAAGTATAGCTCCTTTTTCTGTCAATTAATCGAGTCAAAATTTGGTAGCCAAATTTGAGATTGAAAAGCACAATCTATATGTTTTATAATTTCAATTTCATTATTATAAATTTGGTTACAAAAATGAGAAGAAAACAAGAAAGGTGCGCATGTGTCTTTTTTACGGCGACATCCATCACCTCACAAGGCAAAGGTAAAAATAAAAAAATAAAAACTGTTGTAGGCTATATAATTTATATGTTGAGTTTCTAATATAGTATAAAATTTTAATTATAGGATGACTTCTGAATCTTTCTAATATGCTGAATTTCGAACATTAAAATTCTGAAAATAATATTGTATATGATCTCTAGCTAGTTTCGAACAAAACTATATAGTAATCAGCAGCTATATGTATTATATGCCATGTAGGAAATCAATTTGCCCTATTAACGAATGAGTTGAGTATAGTGATGTGTCAAAGTCATTATAACAAGATAATCCCCGTAGATAATTTCACCTACATGTGACAATAGAGAATGCATTGGAAAGTGAAAAGGTGATGAACGTAATGGTCTAAACAATTATATATAGCAATCCGTAATTTAAATTCTAACGTAAAGTCTTTTCGTTTGAATTTTTTTTTAAGGTCACAGGAATTTTAAGGAAGCAGAGAGAGAGAGAGTAAGGGTCAGTCGTCTCGTCTGTTCTGTCAGAAGACTGAGACGAAACATGTTATGGTTTCTAAAACAGGAAACTAATGATCAAAGTGGAACAGTTTGGGTCCAAGCCTAGTCTCGTCAGTTCCCACTATCCCACTCTTCTGCTGCCTGCCTTTATGTTATGCAGCACTGATGTTATGGCTTGTCTACCATACAAAAAAAAAACGTGTATATATATATATATATGTAAATTACTGAGTATATCTCGTCTTCTTTTTGTTTTCTATTAGTTTGCCTAATAAATTGATAAATGTTTGGAATTTTCTTTTGAGACGCTTAACGCAAACTTATTACACAGATAGAGTAAAACGTATGATGACAATTTGCATATCGTGTAATGCGATGATGGGTCGTCTGACGCAAGAAGCGTCTTTATGTGATGAGAATGATGAGAGAATCAGTGATAACCATTGATTAGTAGGAGTATTAAGTTAATGACAAACCTCATTTATTAATATTTGATTAACCCTAGGACCCCAATTAGACTATACCTCTTTGCTTTTGTGTTTGTCTTTTTGCTCAAATGTCATTCCTCATTGTCAATTGTTTTCCTATTATAAAAACAAACTTTATGAATCTTCTTCATTTTACCAAACTTACAAAATTTATTTCGATTAGCTGTCATGTTTCTTTTGGTTAATTTCTGATCAAATTAATTTTAGGATTGCATCACAAAAAATAGTTATTACAAGTTAAATTAGAGCCAATTTCACCTTAAATCATTTAAAAGAGGATCGGTGAGAGTTCAGGTTGAGTCAACCACTAGAGGAGCTTGATTCTTAAATGAATTTTTTTGTGAAACTGATTCATTCTCATTTCAGTAAACTTGTTTAATAGAAGAATGGCGGCATATAAAAGACTCTTTCTCTCTACTATATTTTTTTTTGGTTATTAGAAAAAATGGTTCGTGAAACATCTCATGGCATTATCATTATTTTATTCAGTTCACTTCAAAAGACCTCTTTCTTGGAAAATCTCAAACATCGCCGCACCAATCTTAGCCGGCGATTCAACCACCTTAACTCCAGCGTCTCTTAGGCTCTTTATCTTGTCTTGAGCAGTGCCCTTACCACCAGAAACAATGGCTTCATCGATCCCAAAGACAACACAATACAAGATTTTTAAGTCCGGGTTTGAGTGGGAAACAGTGAATGAATGAAAGAGTCGAGTAAAGTTTTTTTTTTTTACCTCCTGCATGACCCATCCGACGCCCAGGTGGTGCAGTAAGTCCAGCGATGAAAGCAACTACAGGCTTGTCTGTACCACTTTCCTGTTTGATTAAAAACCCGATATGTTTTATACTCTTGATCATCTTAAAATGGCAAACTCTTGATTCTTAGAAAAGATGCATATTGCGGTTACCTTTATCAAAGCAGCAGCATCTTCTTCTGCAGTACCACCGATTTCTCCAATGAGAATGATACCTGAAAGTAAGTCAATAATTTCTTAGTTGCAAAACCAATGCTGGATTCTGTCACTAATCTATAAAACAGGGAGATTGGTGAACCAACAAGTAATATATCGATAAAAAGACAATAAAGGATGCACTGTTCACGAAATCACTTTCTTCTACATACTACAGAACTAGGTGTTGGGATATTAGGTAAGTACTGGTTATCTACAACATACTAAAGGTAAGTGATCCAAAGGAAACAACAAGACAAATGGGAAAAGCTACTAAGATGTATGAAATGAAAAAGTTTGATTATGCTGTCCAGAAACTGAGACCTTCTGTTTGAGGGTCAACGAAGAACTTCTCCAAGCAGTCAACAAAATTTGTGCCGTTAAAAGGATCTCCACCAATTCCTACACACGTAGATTGCCCAAGACCTACTGCAGTAGTTTGGAAAACCTACATGAAAGATGAACCCAAAAAAACCCATGAGAGATACATAATAAATAGGTCTTCCAGTAATCCAAATTATCAAAAAAGCTTATTAAACTTAATCTAACAATCAGAAAAATCAGTAATATAAATGCTTCTTCCTAAGCCATCTGAATTTAAAGGAGTTCTAAAGGCCATTTAGATTATAAGTTAAGAAAGACAGAGACAAACATGAAAACAACAAAAAGAACCTTACAGCTTCATATGTCAACGTTCCAGATCGAGAAACAATCCCTATCTTTCCAGGCTTGTGGATGTATCCCGGCATGATCCCAATCTTGCATTCACCAGGTTTGATAATCCCAGGACAATTAGGGCCAATCAGCCTAGTTTTTGATTGACTGTTAAGAGCGGCCTTTACACGAACCTACATTACAACAATAGTCCAAGATATCAGTCTAGCCGCTTTAACTTACTCTGCAAACCTGTATCAAATAACTACCAAAGCACATATCACAGAAAAAAAAAGAAAAAAGGATCCCGGAAACAGGGATTATTACCATGTCATGTTGAGGGATCCCTTCCGTAATGCAGACAATAAGATCTAACTCAGCAGCAATGCCTTCCATGATAGCAGCAGCAGCGAAAGGCGCAGGAACGTAAATCACAGAGGCATTGGCTTTAGTCTCGGCTTTAGCTTCGGCAACGGTATTAAAAACAGGGAGACCTAAATGTTCTGTTCCACCTTTCTTTGGTGTCACTCCTGCTACCTATTAAACAACAAACACAAACCACGAATTAGCTTATCTCAAAGCTTTCAATCAAAACCTCAACAAACACCATTCCAAGTGAATTAGTAAAGAATCATGTCCAAAGATCTTTTCTTTAGTAATATACGTTCCATTGTAACATAGCAACCAAACACTGAATCCGAATTGCAAATAGAAAACTAGAAGAGTGATCAGTGAATGAGTGTAAAATTCTCGGAATATACAAAATACCATTTTGGTTCCGTATTCAATAGCTTGCTCAGTGTGGAAGGTCCCGTTCTTTCCGGTAATACCTTGGCAGATGACACGGGTGTTTTTGTCGACAAAGACAGCCGCAGGAGGCGGAGGAGTCGTCCCGAAGGAGCGAGACTGAGTCAACGAAGTGAGAGAGCAGCATGACGGAACCACCTCTGAGCTCCCGCCACCACAGGAACGGCGAAGAGATCCGAGAAGTCTCGTGATCTGCCTAGACATGGCTGGTTTCAAATAATCTAAAATCCTTAAACCTACGATCTGAACCCTATTAGCCAAATTGGAAATCGCTGATCTTCGTTGAAGACTCGGCGAAAGCTAATGGGCCTAATTGAATAAATATCCATCTTAAGGCCCATTTGTATCCTAAAGCCCATATACAAAAATTATATTGTCCTACCAACAAAAACAAAAAAAAACAAAAAAATTAGGTGATCTAAAATATATGCCATGATCCTCAGCCGTAAACTTTTCATTCGTATAAGTGGATAACTCGAGAATTTTCAAATTAACATTTTTTCATTTGAGAGAAATTTTCATAAACTCAATCTTGGAACTTTCTTTATATATACGTACCAAATTAAATATCTTTCCAAGAGAAATGGAAAAATAAATAGCTTCCTAAAGATATTTTTTTCCAACAACTCATCCACTTTACGAAACAGAGAAGAAGGGAAAGCCAAATGACGCCGACGATTCTTACTCCGACGACTCTTCCTCCGGCGACTGCTACATGGCCATGTAACACATCTCAGAAGCTCACCACAATTAGATCAACACCATTCAAGCTCAAGTGTAGAGCGAGTTCTTCATCATCGTCCATCACAGACTTTGATCTTTATGACCTCTTGGGTGTTGACCGGAGTTCTGATAAGTCTCAGATCAAATCAGCCTACCGTGCGCTGCAGAAACGGTGTCATCCTGATATCGCAGGAGATCCTGGTCATGACATGGCCATCATCCTTAACGAGGCTTACCAGCTTCTCTCTGATCCGATCGCACGCCACGCTTATGACAAGGTTGTTACTCTCACTCTATTGATTCTTGTTTCTTGTAGTCTCTGTCAAGGTCATACCAAGTAAGTTTTTTGTTGTTGTAGGAGCAAGCAAAACTTGAAGAACTCAGAGGTTATACAGGGAAACCGTTGTACTCGGTTTGGTGTGGATCAGAGACAGAGCAACGAGCTGCGTTTGTGGATGAGGTTAAGTGTGTTGGTTGCTTGAAGTGTGCTTTATGTGCAGAGAAAACATTTGCTATTGAAACTGCTTATGGGAGAGCAAGGGTTGTTGCTCAATGGGCTGATCCTGAATCCAAAATCAAAGAAGCCATTGAAGCTTGTCCAGTAGACTGCATTTCGTAAGCACATCACTAGTAGCTCTAGTAATTGTTGGCTTTCAGTTCTATCAATTACCATAAAGTATGATTCTTTTTGCAGAATGGTGGAGAGGTCTGACCTTGCTCCACTTGAGTTTCTTATGTCAAAGCAACCACGAGGCAACGTGAGGATTGGGGTTGGAAACACGGTTGGGGAACGTGTCTCTAACGTCTTTGTTGATGTCAAGAAGTTCCAGGAAAGATACGCCAAAACTATGAGCAGAAACACTAAAGAGAGTTCCCAGGTGAGTTTATGCATAGTCCTAATTAAACAACAATAAAGCCAAGTTATAAACATACCTGTCAGATACCAAGTAGTTGTGTTGGGATGTTTTTCAGACAGAAGTAAGAATAAGTGCAGTAGAGGCAATCAGGTCTATCTCCAATTGGCTATACTGGAGATCATCACCGTACACGAAACCGTTGAGTCCAGAATCAAACATGAGTCTAACTTTTACCAAACGGCAAAAAACGGTTGATCCAGATATCAGAAAGCTTCAAGATGCTGTGGCAGCAATGAAACAAGCAGAACAGAGCGGCCAAAGCAAACCAAAAGAAGCAGTTTTCATGCTTGGAGAAGATTATTGGACTCCAACAAACGCAGCTCTTCCCTCATCTGGAAACAACAACAAAAACTCCAAGGCTAGCTCGATTCCGCGAGTGACTCATAACAATACTTCATCAGAAGAGAAACCTAACAGTAGAAGAGCATATAGAAGACAGTTCAAGATTCAGAAGTTCCCAATTGGGACAGCCATAGTTGCAGTATTATTGGTTCAGTACCAAGCAAGTTACAGAGACGTATCTGAGCTCAAAGACCATATCGGCGGCTCGCTAGCTCTATCCATAATTAACAGCCCATGGCAGCAGATTTTATTAGCAGGAGTTACATGGTACTTCATCGGAGCAATGTTACTCCAACTTGTGGAAGCTGCTCAACACAAGCTAGAAGGTGAAAAAAAAGGCGATAAAGAAGCATAGGCTTCATAGATAAATATAATTTGTACAGCATATCACTCTTTAGAGCAGGTTCACCTGCAGATGTAACAATGAACATTATATTATACAACAAACACATATGCTTATTGAATTATGCCCCAAGTATAGGTAAAGAACATCATAAATGGGCCTAGCCCATTATATATTTCGTTTCTAAATATATCTCCACCGATCAAAGACGCTTCATCCTAATCTTGTCTTCACCGCCAAAAAAATGGCGTCGTCATCATCAAGAAAGTACGAGACACGAAAGCGAGTTCCAGATCCACAAAACGCAGCTCTTCTCGTCATCGACATGCAGAATCACTTCTCCTCCATGGCCAAACCCATCCTCAACGAAGCTATCACCACCATCGACCTCTGCCGACGAGCTTCCATCCCCGTCTTCTTCTCACGCCAAAACCACAAGTCCCAGAACGACCACGGCATGCTCGAAGAATGGTGGAACGGCGATCTAATCCTCGACGGAACCACTGATTCGGAGATCATCCCGGAGATACACCGCCACGTCATCGGACCAGACGAGATCGTGGAGAAGAACACGTACAGCGCGTTTCAGAACACGCGGCTACAGGAAAAGCTGGAGAAGATAGGGGTGAAGGAAGTGATAGTAATTGGAGTGATGACGAACCTTTGCTGTGAGACGACGGCTCGTGACGCGTTCATTAAGGGATATAGGGTTTTTTTCTCCACCGACGCGACTGCTACGGTTAATGAAGAGCTTCACGAGGCTACGCTGATGAATCTCGCTTATGGCTTCGCTTATCTCGTAGACTGCGATACACTCCGACGAGGTCTGTCTACTACACTCAGTACTTGCTAAATGATTACTACACCTTTTGTTACTTAGTACATATTGTTCTGTTTGTGTACTTTTGGTCCGCATTGCTTTAGTCCAGTGTAGTCTCGTGATGCTCTTCATAACAATAGTTCTGTTTGTGTTTTGTGTAGTTTAATACTTAATACAATTTTTCCACCTTATATTTAAAGTAGCTTCTCTAATAATTTTTTTGGTAAAAAGCTTCTCTAATAATTTTTTTAGATGACTATAATGTAAGAATCATCACATGGTAATTCACTAGAAAAAAATGTAAAATTGCGATAAAGCCATATATACAATTCTAATGGCTTCTTTTTGCTCAAATCTGTTTATTATTTTTGTTTTTCTCCTTAAGAATTATATAGAGATAATCAAATCTGTGGGGGTAGAGAAAAAAATTATCAAAAGGGAAAAGTAGGAAGTTTCTTATTGCCTAGAAAATGATGAACGAGCTGAAGAGCTTCTCTAGGTTTGAATGTTGGAACTTGGTGTCCCGCTCCTCTTATCGTCACAAACGTTAACCCATCGTACTCCACCGTCCATCCTCCAACCTAATGGCAAGTGGAAGTGACAAAAAAAGATTATTACTAGAGTTCAAAAATGACACACACTTGCTCGGAAGAGATTATAAGTTTTGTAATTTGGAGCCAAACCTGTAGTTTGGTGTACCAAGGTGTCCAGTCTTGAACAACCTTAAGACCAAGCTTCTTTAATGTGTATCTTGTTGCGGTCACGGGGATTCGTCCGTCTGTATCCCCACTTTTTTAACCAAACAATTTAAACCGGTTATCGGTTATCAAGCTCAATTCTTACATTAAAAAAGTGCCAAAGCGTAGGTAGCTAGGTGTGTGTATACCTGAAAACCCATACGCGTAATCCTGCCGAAACAAGTGTTCTTAAGGTAGGAAGCATAGAAGCGGGAGCGTCAGTCCAGAATGAGATAGCCTCGCTGCACATATATAGTCAACCATATGCATTAATTGGTTTAGGTTCGAAAATGGTTTATCAATGATATATCACTCTTTTTGGTTAAACTATGATAGTAAGAGTAGTATTGATATATGTAGCTCTTAACATATTTTTCTAAATGGACGATTTAAATGCAAACCAAAAGTATATGTGCCTAGCTTAATCTTATAACAAGCAAAGGAGACCAGATTGAACATGGTAACAATATATACCTGCAATGAGTCCAAGGGTAAGAGATGTTGGTGACATTAGCGTGAAGTGCCTCCTGAACATCTCTCCTGTTCATATACTTTTCTGTATACTGCGATAAACATGGGTCATACCCTGCCGCCATCCTCTTCCATCCCTCCTGTATAAAATCAATTATATAACCGGTTAGTCCAATCCCGTTACGAAATAACAAAAAAATTTCTAAGTGAAAAAGATGAAATCATTTACATTGTGAGAGATGAGACGGGGCCTGAAGACATTCCGGAAGGCGGGTAGGGGGCGGTTTCCCGCGACAGAACGAGAAGTAGAAGAGTTCTTGGAGGTTGGGACACACTTGGGAGAGTAGAGACTGTACATGTCAAGGATTTTGTACACATCAAAATACTCATCTAAAGCCCCATTGCATTCCTTGGACACATGTTCTTGTTTGAAATCGCAATGTTGATTCACTTTCTCGTACAATGCATCTGATATTACAGCGTGATCATACGCATAATCTATCATCCCCTTCTGATCCGTTTCATCGTCCAACAACGCGTTTCCTATCTGTATATACAATTGTCAAATTCATCATGATCAGCTCCTCAACTTATAAGAGTAATTAATAATGCCTCTAGGCCATCTACTACTTAATTATTTATTGGTTTAAGATAATCACTGACCATTAAACCCTTAAGATTTATGTAATCTTTCTTGGGCGCAATCTTGTTTTTATTGTAGATGAGCTCCGAGAGTTGAGGAACGTAATGCCCTAGTTAATTCCATGCAAACACATATTGATCAATGTTCTTTTTTGGTTTTGTAATAATCACATACAGTATGTGGAAACAACGTTGTATAATGTTTTAAATAGTTAATTTACCGGCGTAGCTTTCTCCGGCGATGTAAAAGTCGTGTGACTTGTACTGAGGGAATCTCTTGAACCAGTTGACGAGGAAGTTGTACGAGTCACTCGCTGGTTAACCATACACAATCTTTATTAATATACTTACAAACAAAACTAATTAATAGTAGTACTTAATTAGTAGTCATCAAATCATTATTATATAGTTGAACCTGTGACGGTGTCGCCGAGTTGACTTATATCACGGCTTGTGTTAGTGTAGGAGAATCCAACTCCAACCGGCGATTCCAAGAACAACAAATTGGCCGCTACATATTATTGTACATCAAAAGCATTAGTAATGCCAAAAGAAATAAATTTTGAATATTGAGATAGTTTTGGTCCTTATGGATTGATACCTTTGTTCCAGCTGTATGGATTTAGCTTGAGATTAGGCTCACTCGAGTTTTGAGGGAAGAATGGTCCAAGCTCTTCTGATGCTCCAAATCCGACTGATGAACACCCCGGTCCTATATTTTTTGTAAATTTTTTCACCATTACATCTCAAATCATATTTTTACTATACATTATATATTTTGTATTATTCGCAACCACCAAATTAAACTTAGGCCCTACTCCATTCGCTAGCTCGATCTATATATGTATGTTACACTATAATTGCATATATATAGGGTCCATTTAATTTAAGGGAGGTTTGTTGCTTATAATTGATAAACTTGCTTTTATCAAGAAACCACACACAAATAAAAACAAACTCGAGAACACTTTTAGGGCGTGCCATACGTGCATGGACCATGTGTAATGTTTGTGGAACTAATAATAATGACTTATATGGAATGGACCGTTTCTAAGTTTCATGGAATTGACTTTTCTTTGATAGGTGAATAATAATATATAGATGCATATAACTTTTGTGTCAATATAAATTACTTTGCCTTAATATTAAAGTAAAGGGGTCGCATGAGAGAGCCCACGGGAGCCTATATAAAAGCCTAAATATATGGTAGAGATACTATATAACGTCGTCATAACTTCGTTTTTTTATCCATGAATTCATCACATGCATATATATGAATTCAACTTCTATGAATATTTCTATATTATAGATAGTGTACATACACATGTAATTACTAATTACTTTGCATTCTTTCACCAGAATATTATATGTTCAAGCATGTTATATACGCTAAACAAAAAGTCTTAATATAATGTAGTATATGTTTAGTGACGTTTTCATCCCAATTTAGCTAAAGTATTTTGTTTTAATAATGTATGTGTAAGAAAACCAAAACATAGAAAAACAGAGCATGATGAAACGTTGAAATTGTAGTGACGGATGAAGTAAGAAAATCATTACAAAGTAAATTGCTCCCTTCTTTTTTTTTATTAAACTATAGAACGAAATGGTATTATTACGAATATATATAATAGCAAACGAGTCTAACCAGAAAAAGGCTACCTAGCAAAATATAGGATCATGTAAAAACAAGTAACAAGCATGTGGAATCATTACAAGCTTCCAAAATGAATTGAAGTTTAACCAATTACACAACCAGTAATGATGGTGATAACTACTAACCAGTAACCACATACGTTTCAATGATTTTGACATGGTGCCAAATGAGATAACATCTCTCTTTTACTATTAGGGAAGGTTCACCTAATATTCTCCTCAGTCACCTTTTTTTTTTTTGTCTCCATGCATACAAAGGACTTACTAAATACATTGGGTTATTTTAATCCACGTTACATATAGTTTACATTATTAATATACATACACACTCATGTAGTCATGTACATATGTATTGTCTCTTTATAACTCTAGTAGTCTAATAATATCCTCATGCTATTTATTACTGATCGTATCATGGAGACATGGATGTATAAGTTTAACTTTCATAAACAACAATGTAGTAAATTAAAAAGCTGAGTTAACATCCTATTTTACGGGAGAGTTTGGTACTTTGGTCCACAAAACTCGTTCTCACAAAAAAAAAAAAAACTTATGAAAGTTTCTAAACTCAAAACTAAAATTCGAAAATAAAGGAGTTTACACCGTATCTAAGTAGATGAAATGCACACGAAGCATGATACACCTTACTTTTTATGTGTATGGGTTTTAATCTTTTCAATAGTTAAGTAGTTACCTCCATTGAGCCAAAGAAGGAGAGGCTTTTTGCTTGGATTTTGAGTAGCTTCAAAGAACCAATAGAACAATGCTCTCCCATGTGTTTCATTAACCGTCACATAACCGGCGTATTGCCGGAATTTCACCGGAGGCTGTCCCGGGAGGTCCTTGACACGATCAGCTCGTTGTGCCGCCAAAACCCTAGACCGGAAACAACCACTGTCGCCGTCGTTGTCGCTGCACAGCTTTTCTGCTGACGATGAACCAAGAAGAAAGGACACAAGAAATAGGACAAGAACAGAGAACACAACACTATGAGATCCCATTATTGTTATTATTATTATTGTGGAAATTGTGAAACGACTGTGTAAGCTTTATATAATGTGTTAGAGAAAGAAAGAAAGAGAGAGAGAGAGAGAGAATGAACTTGAGAGACAGATAAGAACACTCTGTAGTCTCACTGGGTGGTAACCATATTCATAAGATAAGACACATGAGAAAAAATCAAAATCTTGGAAAAGTAAGAAGATTTTTTTTAATTCTTTCTTTCTTTTTTTTATTAAAACATAAATATGTACTCTCTGTTTTTATCCCCTATATATAAGAAAGGTTTGTTAAAATTCTGAATTTTCCCTTATTTATATGCATTTCTCTTTTTGTTTTACACTAACACTAGAGGTTGAAAATATCTACTACACACGCAACTTGTGAGACCATCTTTAATATGCCTTTCTATTTGGAATTTTTTGATAATTTCATGTGATGAGACTTGAGTAACCATTTTCATAAGACTAAGACGTATAACTTATATCGAATGTGAAGAAAGCAAGAAATTATTTAAGAATGGTATATGAATTTCTTTTTTTTTTCTGATAAAAATAGAAAGGTTTGTTAGAAATTGAGTTTCCGTTTGTATGGGCAAATTCTCTTTATAGGGAAAATACGTATAAGACAGACGCAACTTGTTACATATGTATCCAAAAACTATCGTTTCTGAGTATAAAGAAATT